GCTTCGTTTCATTGCGCTCACCTTTGTTTACGACATAATCCTGCTGGTTCATGGTCTTGTCGGTGAACGATCCATCTCCTATGAGAATCTCGGAGTCTTTAGGCCGCTTCGTTTCATTCCATTCTCCTTTTCTGAGTGCATACTCTTGCTGTTTCACTGTTTTGTCGGTAAGGGATCCGTTGTTGTTGAAAATACTGCAATCGCTCGGTTGCTTTGTTTCGTAGTGTTCTTCCTTGCTGAAGTGTTGCTGTTTCAGGGTCAGACTACCAGTGAATGACCCATTTCGGTTAAGGATTTCAGAGACCTTTGTAGGCTTGATCTCAAGGATTTGATTTCTATCGCTATCGTCTTGAAAAATGATGCCCATGTGTGATAGCTGGCGTTTCTTTCTGCTAGGAGAAATATCTTTTATTCCACTGTCGTTTTTATCATTGGTATTATAATCGATTACGTTGTTCTTGTGGTGCATGATCATTTGCTCCGCTACATCTCTTTTCGGTGCATTGTCTTCGATTTCTGATCTATTTCGATAGACTTCTGGTCGGCTGATTTTATTGCCCACTAATGCTTTTCTTGGGCTGGAATCCTAAAGCACGATTTTTGGTTGTTAATAAATAATCTGCTCATCGTTTTACTTCCAATAATTTTACTCTTGCTTCGATAATACTTTGTTGCTATATTTTAGTCTGTTGTGCATTTTTACCTAATTTCCAATGCAACACTGGAAAACTATCCGTGAAAAGCTCTCGCTGTTTTCTGGAGCGATTGAGTAATTTTGAACTGTTTACTATGCAATAACTTTCAGTACATGAACATCTGTCATGGTTGTTTTAGTACAGACCTATGTGGCTAAGTGGGAACGCTCTAGCTCGGCTGCTCCAGGGCTCTAGGGAGAATTCACTCGACCAACATTCAACTAAAAATGTGTAGAGTAGCAACCGAAGCCACACGTAAATGTTGGAAGACCTTCATGGATGATGGATGTGAGGAAACGAATCGAACTCGTGAAATGCTGAGATCCGCACAGTAGGTGTGAAAGACAAATCTTGTGAAGGAAAAAAAATTATTGACTAAATGCTAAAAGTAAAAGCATTCAAAAATCACCGAAACACACCAAATTCGTTTGAATTGCAGTATCCAGGAACGACGAACTGTTTTTGGAAGGTCTTCTGTCTACAACCGTAGCCGTATCATTTCCCTTAGTTGCTGCAAGATCATGTTGAAGTATATTATTAAAGTGTTTATTTCGAATTTCAATTTATTTCACATTCAAATTATTTCAGACCCAAAACATATTCTAAAAATGCGTATTTAGTTGAATAGCCCTGTTATCGTCAATAAATTAAAATGATCCACTAAGTTTAGTGATAGTGCAATGAAGCAACTTATCACCCTATCACCTGGTCAGTAGAAACGTGCGATACGTAATTCACCTGTATCACCTGTAGTCCCGTTGATCGTCGAGTAACTCGAGCGGACGCCAGTAAATCCTCCATTTTTCCCTGTCGCGTGCAAAAGTAACCCAGTGGGTTCTGCTCGCTCTAGGGACTCGTCGAGCATTATATCTTTCATCTAGGCTCTTCGTGAAGAATTCTGACCATCAGGTCGGTGGTCTTCCTGCAGTACGTTTAACATCCCGAGGAAACCAGTCACTAACGGCTCTTGTCCATCGACTGTCATTCATACGCATTACGTGTCCGGCCCACCTTCTCTTCCACTGTTTGGCGTACAGAACGGTATCCTTGATTTTTGACCGTTGACGCCGGTCGAAGTTTCGGAACCCATCCCTTACTTGTGTGAAACGTGATACCATTAGCATCGTCTTTTCGAGTGCGCGTTCGATAACGTTGCGTGACCTTTGATCCTGCTAACGGAGCGACCAGCTTTCTGTCGTATACGTTAGAGAAGGAAGTACCGTTGAGTCGGAAAGGTGGGCAGGGAGTCGGATGTTCTTTGTCCTTTTCACTATATCCTCGATGAATACGTAATTATTTTGTACTTATCGTTGGCTGCTCGTAATATGAAGGATAAGAAAAATGGCATTTATAAATTGTATTAAGTAGTAAGACTTACATGTATCGTCCGGAAAGTGGCGTTGGTTTGATCGCGATTTTTGTTTGGAAGTGAATGCGTCATTAGAGGAGTGGTTGTCAAAAATCCAAAAAAAAATTATTCCTTCACAAAAATACCATCAATCTAATTATGGCATTGTAGAAATCAAGGACTAAAAGTTACAAGGAGAAAAAAAACTTGTAGCGAGATATGTTTCCATAAGATGATAATAATAACAGTGATAGTAACAATGCTCCCAACGGTTTACCGTCTCATCGTGGGAGGTGGTGCTCCTTTGTGTTGAGTTGCGATGTACAGCGAAGGGATTCATCCCTGGCATGGTTTCCCGAGCTGAGAAAAGTCAGGCGTTTCCATCAAGAAACCCACTTTAAACCAACACCAGGATCCACCACCATCCTGCTATCAAACTAGTCGCATGATGGCAAATCTCCCTTTGATCCAAAAGGACAGCGACTTCATGTGGTGGTGAAGACCTGGGGCAGATTGTCCTGGCTGACCTCGAGACTCCAGGGCACAACAATGACTAAGCCAGCAAAACTCCAAAAAAATGAAAATTATGTTGGAGCCCCCCGTCGACAACCAGCACGGACGGTCCATCTAAATATCCAAGTAAAGAAAAACAATAGTTTGCATAAATTTTTCTTCTTTTCGTGCATTAAATCCTATCATCTGTAAAAAAAAAGTAGCTCAGGGATCAAATCAATAGCTATCTTCTTGAATTGGTTTTCTCACAGTTTTGTTTATTTATTGAATTTTTTTCCCTTGAAGAAGTAAATTAAATTTCGATGGCGAATGGGAACGAGTTTGTTTGGTTTGTTTGCTACTAGGAGAATGTGAACCATTACTGTCATGCAGTGTCGTTACGGATCTTTCTCATTCGACCATTCTTTTCTCCAAGAAATATGTAATGGCTAGGAAAGAAGAAAACAATTTAATTGTAGATGAGTACGGTAAAAATTGCTTGCGTAAATGATGTCTTTTTACCTAAAAATTTTTATGATTTATTGAATCGAACGCAAATTATAGTAATATTGTAACGAAATGGTAAGATTATTGATTATCTAGACGTTTTGAGACGCGTTAATAGATGTAAAGAAGTTGGACTGTTTACTAAAACAATACCTGACTTCTCATGCCTAGTGCTTAGAGTTACCTGCAATGCACACGGGGTCCATGGTTCGATCCCGCGTTTTGGACAAATCACCTCACATCGCCCCTTCGAGGTCACCAAATTGATGTAGAACTTGTTTGGGACGATAAAAACACTAACTCGCAACATGGTAAGGCTAGTGCAAGTCATTGTATAGGATGACTATGCATTCAATAACGTCTACGATACTACGAATGTAGTAGAGCGCATAAGATCCTGTGCGATTCATCAGTGCTAAAAAATTTATCTATTGCTCAACATTTTCCTGACATTCAACTTTTTTCCCTCTCATTGGCAAGTCATCAAACGTTAGCACGCAATTTACTTTTCCAACAACAAGTCAATTTTTGGAGAAATAATTGACATTCGCATGTCCTGTAATCTCGAAGAATCTTGTGCCTGTAGCAACACAGCTTTCATTTATTCAATATACTGGCGATTGGGCAACATTCCTAGAGTTCATGGCATTTCGGGATAGTCCTGTGATATCGGTTTCTGGTTGATGCCACAAGTAATCGCCGGCTGTCCACATGAATCAGAGAAAGGTTTGCTGACATGCCCCTAGGTTTCATTCCTGATGAAGGCAATAGCTTTATTCTTTGCTTGGTTTCGAGATGAAAATGTCGAAGTTTTTGTTCTCGCTTTGGGTGACTTCGTCTGGAATGGCAAGTGCGAGGATGGCATGCACTTCAGTACTACGGTCCGACACCACAAAACTTCTCTCCGCCTTGATGGTGATAAAGCATCATGATGGTTATGTAAATGATTTCATTGTCAAAACGACTAAACACTTCATATCCCTTTATCATAATGGCTACAACTAGAAGTAACAAAATTCGAAGCGAAAAACGTTTATACTATCATAAATGGTTACGGTTTGTGAAGCAAGCTTGGTTTATGATGGATAACATTTTCTGGTATTATAGAAGAAAATGGGCATTAGTAAATGGGAACCAAAATGCATAGGAATATATGAGAGATAAAATTTAGATACCTGTGAACTCTGATTTCGTTGCTTCAGTGCCATCCTTTCGATGTATCTGCTCTTCGTTTCGTTCGACAAGTTCTTATCGATGTCATTAATATTAGTACTTGTTGGAGCATATGGACCAATCACTGCTGCCTAGAATACAGTGACATGTACTTATTTTCTTGAAAGACACAGAAGAACAAAAAGGAGTATGTTTTAAAAAATTCACAAAAGAGTAATGTGAACGAGTCAAATTTTTTCAAATAACTGCGTAAATAGTTTGTTTAAAATTACATCTTAAAAATGACTAAGCGCTAAGCTCTGTAGAACTTCTAAGCGTAAAATTAAGAGCACGATTTACTTCAAAAACCAGTCTGAAGGATGAACGCAGTGCTTAGAAGTGAGGTGTAATTACGTGTCGGATATTCGGTTCGCACTTGTACACCAGGAAAAAGTCTTCTATTCCTGGAGCGCAAAAAATACTGACTTCATACATCAATAGGCACCGATTTTATAGACAAAATATTCATTTAGCCAGCTCCACAATGCTACGAATGGCGTGGAATGAACAGAAAGTGTTTAGGAATCGATCATTGCCAAAGGCTTTATATTTCATCTATCGAAAAACATTACTTTATCACAGTAAAGACAAAGGAATACTTCATCAGTGTCCCTAAGCGGAAAACAACAGTTTAAAAAACCGATCTTCTTCTTCTTTTAAGAGGATCTAAGAGAATCGCCACCTTTCCAGCAGCGCCGAATGTTGCACAAAACAGCACTTTCTGTTATTTTTTAAAGTTTTGAACAGTGAAGAAAAAATTATGGCATACCTTCAACGAATCTGGAAATTGTCCGCTACTATAATCATCACCCAACGAAAAACTACTGGCATTTCTATCATGAGGGCATTTGTGTCGCCTGAAATTTTATTTGCACAGGACGTATGATTAAATAGAACGCAAAAGCCATACCTTGAACCAAATCACATTCATTGCAAACCTTTACACAAATAAATGTTTATCAGTTCATCGAATGAAAAAAAGGACAAAGCTCTCGGCGTCGATCAATCCCTTAGGGATACGCCGTGCATTCGACTTCATTAAGTATCACCTGGAGGTGATTGGATGCATATCTGGCCTTTACAATGACTCACGGTAGCCCACAGATGTATTGAGCCAGTGCTACTATCCTACACCCAGACAAGTCTGGCACCAATTTGCTGATCCCGGAAGGAAGGAAGGCTTGGTGAGCCATGGGCGCGGAAATCGATTCCACGTGTATGTTGCAGGGCATCTCCGACCACTGCGCCACACGCGATCCATCGAATACGTTCTCAAAATGTCCAGATAGCCAACAACGTGTTCTTTATCCACAGTTGAAATATTTAAGTGATAATGTATAAGATTGCTTAGAAATTAATGTTCGATTTGCAATTTTAGTTTTCCTGCATGTTTCAGTAGTACATCGAAAATAGTTTACACAGTTGTAGTTTTCCCCGATTAATGTACTGTTATATATCATTGCAAAGCTCATTTTATTCATTCTCGCTTCGTAGAATTATACAAATTGGATCCTTCACAAATTTTAAAGAGTAGAATTTCAGATGCCATAACAGTAATTTCGGCATAACCACTTCCAGGAATTGCAACTCAAAGTGCAGCGAGAACCACTCGGAACAGTAAAGAGGTATGCGGCGGACGTCTTAACGAATGCACTGTGCAACAATAGTCCCAAAAATTTTCTCATGGCGAATTCTACGTCGAAGATGAGGAGGGTTGTGGATAACCTTCTGCTATTAACAACGAAAAAGTGAAGCCTTTAGTGGAAATAAATACATAAAACCTATATAAGAACGGCGTAAGCATCCAACTGGTTCGAAGGGTCTAAAAACCTGGCTAAAGTCGAAGAAGCTCGATAAATAAATGACCATCAAAGAAGTTGCCGTTTGGAAGTATCGTCACCATTCCTTCTGGAAAACTAGAACAGCCCTTATTACTGCGTCATACGACGAGAAATTGCTTCTCTATTATAACTGCAGACGAGCAGCTCAATAGCTGAACCATGACGATGCCCCTCAGCATTTTCCGAACCCAAAGTTGCACCGAGAGAAGGTCATCCTGACCGCTTGCCCATTTTCTCCTTATTTATTCACCAGAGCCTCTTGAATTTGGACGGAAATATTGCGGTAGAGAAGTATGTCTGTCATATCGACGAAATGCAAAAGAGGCATAATTGGCCTATGCTCTACATTAGTCAACGAAGGATGACCATCTGTTCTCCACGACTATGCTCTGCCAAACTGAGCACAGACGAACTGCAAAGATTCAACGATATTTGCTACGAAATATTGTCTCATCTACCATGTCTGCCAGACCTCCCTCCTATCGATAACGAATTTTTCAACCATCTCAACAACTTCCTGTGTGAGAAATGCGACTAGTTTGATACCAGGACAGTGGTGGATCCTGGTATTGGTTTACTCTCAGCTGGATTTCCTGATAGAAACGCCGGACTCCTCCTTAGCTTGAGACCCTGTTGGGTGGATGAATCTCCCCGCTGTACATGGCAGCCAAATACTCAGGAACACCTTCTAGTCACTATAGGTAAGCCACTGGGAGGTTTTTTTTCGTTTATTTATTTCGACCAATGAAGTGTCTATCCTGAGCTGAAATATGCCAAGTTGTGAATAAAGTGTGATATCGGACCTTAATTCATGGCGAACGTAATTGTTCATTATTCGTTATGCTCGCCTAGGATAGACGGATCCCTCATTGACTTCTGACAGATAACTCTACTAAATTCATCTACTTTCTTATCGGAAAATCTCTAACGAAAGTTTAAATAATTCTGTAACGTGAATACAGTATGAATACAGTGACGCAAATAGCATCATAATCGAAGATATCAAATTTATTGATTTATAATTTTAAAGTTGTGTTCAAGATACATGCGACAATGTGAGTCACCTATAATTCACATAGGGTCAGAAATATTTCAGCGTTTGAAGTTTAAAATGAAAACAAAGCACCTAAAAAAATTAAAAACGTCCATAAAATGGGACGAGATCTATTTCATTATATTCCAAGTTTTATAGTTATCGGAGAACTACCAGCAGCTCTCAAAAAACCCTGCTCTGTGTTCAATTTTTTAGCTAACAGCCGTTACGAGAAAGTTAACTGCAATCCGCTAGTCCTTGGTTTTTGCAGAAATAATTGCTCAGTTTTATAACTTGACAGCAGTATAACTTTTAATTGGAATTTTACAGGTACTCCCACTAACTTGGAAAAATTCTGAACAAAACGTAAGCTAACAAGCACCAACGATTCCGAACACTTTAGCTCAATGCACATACCCACAAGTGCATATTTGGCAGACACATTGTGCTCCATGCGACATCCTAAAACAGAAAAACATGGATTACTTATATAATTGTCAACGCACATATATACATATATATAAATGTATAAATATGCCAGAGTAAAGTCCGCTATGTTGCGAGACAGAAGGACGGAGAGAAACGGAGAAAATTCGTACAAATTTGATTTAATCGAAACGGTAGGGAGTGTAGTCATATGGGAGCAGTCGAACAAAAACTCCAATTCAATTTAAAGTGATTGGTGGAAATTGGCTTAGATCGGTTCATATTATGAGGAGAAAACCAAAACATAGCATCTGCATAGAGAATCGTGAGAAATCCAACCACCCGAAAGAGAATTCTTTGTGGACAAAAAAATCATCGATCTGTTCAGTGGTATCCAAACTTTTTCGTGTAGAATCACACTGTTAAGTGAATGTCATAGGTTTTTTCAAATAAGAATTATGAAGTCGAGAACCATCTATTGGACTAGGAAGTCAATGATTTCTTCTAGATCTTTCCGCTCATGTATGGAAAGGAAAAAAGAGAACATTTTTGCGGAACTTTGAAGTACAATGTCTAAATTATTATGAGTCGTCTTTAAAGAAAAATATTACAGAAAAACGGAAAAAGGCTGACATACGGCAAACAGTGAGTCATAGAGAGCCTTTTTATGCGAATCAATTAGAAAACCAGTTACTGCTTTTCAGTCGAATGTTTCATATTATTGAAATAATTTCAGCTATGGAAAACGAATTAGGAAGAACTTTAGGCCATCTCGAGCAACTATGTTAATTCAGATTTCTAAAACAAAGGATCAAATTTAGAGCAACAGAAGAAATTTAACCTATGAATCGAAAAGATAATGAAAAAACACTTGACATCTAAAAAACATCTAAAATATTGGAAGAGAAGAGATTACTAGAAACGTAACAAATCGTCTTAATTACAACAACATTAAAAAAACAAAAGGATAAAGCCCTCGGCGTGGATCAATCCCTTAGGGACGCGCCGTGCTTTCCTCTTGCGAAATTCGCCGAAACGTCAGTTTATTCGTGAATAAAGAATAAAAACCCCTCACGTTTGCATAACAAGAATACGAGGAATGTCAAGAGTTTTTGCTTATTGATCGGAAAAAGAAACGTTCTCGGTAACGCCATTACAATAAATAACCAGTAAATCGTGAATCTCCGAGACAACATGTGATTCGAAAAGTAATGGTAGAGAGATTGTCGTCGACTGATATGATCATGCATATGCTTGCTTCCGAAGTTGTCCGCAATTCAGTGGTTTCTGAACATTTAAAACTGTCTAAAAAAGCCTGGAACTAATGGCAAAGTGGTAGACGTTAAGTGGAAAGTAGTTGTTAGTGTTTCAATTCACTCTGTAGGAATTGATTTGGATTTGAGAACATAAAGCGCAGAAGGAATAAAGCCGGTGAACTCTATGAGTCATTCATTCAAGGACGCTAGGATGATGGAATGAAAAGGATGAGTTGAATTTTGGATAGACACTTAACAAAAACGTTTATTATGGAAGCCGTTGCATAAAATATACAACAGAAAATGATATTCGTAAATGAAAAACGTTAACCGTAGTCGGTCGCAATACACTAGTTTTGCTCGAAATGTGAACAAATACAACTCGAGAACAAGAAAAACAAGCAGCAACTAGTAATTCTCGCTAATCGATAGGCGACATTCACTTAAGCGGCTTTTTGCACGAAAACGTAATAATTATACGAGGTAAACCATGAAATACAAGATTATGAAAACGCTTATCAGCATAATAAGATCACTTGTCACTATCAAATATATTTATGTTATAAAGTGGATTACACGTAAGTACGTCCCTCGTAAAGTCCACTTCACTATCGACGATTATAAACCAGTGAGAATCTCGCAAAATTCAGATAGCACAACTTGTGACGCTGAGAACGAAGAAGGAAACCGAACCCAAAAAAAGTTGTACACAAGGGAATATTAGAGAAGGGAAGAAAAACTGGATGATTGGAAGATGTGAGTTAGAGGATGAAAGGAAAAACCTGAAACACATACGAATCCGTTCGCTACCGAAGTTGTGCTATTCCGCGAACAAGTCGTCGACTGATGAATGCGTGCTGGGGAGACGGCAGACCAGGAGGAGGACGAGAACGAGGACGAGGACGAGCAGAAGGAAAAGGAGAGGCATATTGAACGAATAAGACGACGAAATAGACAGCAGCAACAGCAAAAACAACACCATTTCAGGCTGTTCTGAATGAGCTGTGTTTTGTTTACTGTTATTGGTGTTGACAATCCTGGATGAGTTAGGAAAAAAATTCACATGAGCACGATAGTCCTGCCGGAAGATGCTTCTGGTCACTTTTCCAGATATTTTAGCTCACACACGACAAATACACAGTGGCTTGAAGAATTACTGGTAATGCTGTTGAGTCAGCCTTTCGCTCTTTCGCATACACACCCACCTATCGACAACAATAATTGTGCATGTCGGACGAATAGGGCAGTTTTGTTCTCGCATATTTTCTACTTATTTTTCCAACAGTGCTCATCTTTGAAAATGGTGTTAATCCATGGAAGGTAGAGGGCAAGAAAAATAATAGAAAAAAGCCGATTCGAAGCCTAATTTCGCAATAAATTCTCTTCTAACCGAGGAATGTCTTCGAATATTCGAATAAATGAAAGAGGGCAATCGAATTCCGTTTATATGTACGATGTTACTGAGAAGAGTTAACGTTGAATCGTTGAGTTGTTTAGAATTGTATGCATGAATGACTACAGACAGACTTCATCAGTGTTTTCCTTTGATGCTTATCATGTGATTGCAATAAAAACATTTCAGGAAAATTTCTTTCAACAGGTGTAACACATTACAATAACACGGTACATTTCGATTGGAAAACCTTGAAAATCTTCTTTACAAGGACTAATAAATGTTTTCAGGGATATAATTGGAAACGAATGTGTTGATACAACGAGAAGGGAAAACATGACACTGTTAGAGTTGAAAAATCATAAATATTCTTATCTTCTTAATTTCTACTTTTTACCAAGTTCTTTTTTCTTCAGGTATGAACTTAAACTTATTTGGCCATTCGTTTTTTCTGACTTAGGAAAATCAATAAGAACTTATTTTGCAGTTAGTTTTCTTAGGACTAAAGGAAATCAGTGACTGTTAAATTCTTGTAAACTCTAGGCGTTGACGTTAACCACTTGAAATTAAGTCGGCTAAGAATTTAATTGATAGATGATAAAACGGCTCACTTTGCACAATCAGTATGTTTTTGTTTAAGTTAAAGTTTCATTGATACCTTCAAAACACCCTTGCTTCCTTAAGCGATTTTAGAGTCCACTTAAAGTTAGAAGACGAAACTAGCGTAAACATCTTAAACTAAAAAATCAGATTTTCGAATTTGCCATGAACAAAAGAATTTCCCTATTGAAGAAAAAAGACGAAAAAAGAAACTCAAGCATAAAATTGCACGTTTGAGAGTCAAAGCTCGTTACTAGTCGTTGAAGTCGGTTTGTGCGACTCTGAATCTATCGAATAATATTGTTTATCAAACGTGTTACAGACCACGAGATCAAGCGTGATCTCGCCCCGTACCTTCATAACGATCGTTGATATGGGGACGTGCAGTCGTCAACCATATGCGACTCTGAGCGGCTGCTCTTCCTTGGTGGAAGACAGGTGAGAAAAGCGGTGGGCTTTCGAGAAGCCGTTGATTTTGTAATTATCGTTCAGATTTCCATCTTTCTGTTTGTGTTTGACCTGCTGAGTTGCGTATTAGTGTACCCCTCCAGGCTCTGAAGAAGGCGATTCTGCCGAAACGTCGGCTACAATTGTGTTGTATGTGTGTTATTGTACAGAAGTAAACGTATGCTGTTTAACAACTTCGCGGTTGCTGAGAAAGAAAACGACGAATTCATAAACGTGTTACAGCACCCGATCGTACTTGTACGGGAACACGTTGTTCACTACACAGATGAGTGCATAGTGGCAACGCCTGAAAAACATCTATTTGGCGACAATGGCATCCGCCTTAGCATATCCACATTCCTGCAGACCTATAAATTTGCTACAAAGGAGATGGAAGCTAACTATGAACCATCGACAAACAGATCGATAGTGTGCCGAAAAGGAATTTCTCAGAGTCAGAATCACAACAATTCGAAAAGAAAAAGGAAGAAGAATTGGCCGTTAGCGGTTTTCGCTGCGTTTCAGGCGTTCATAATTCGACTAGCACTCGATATTTATTAGCTGCTATGGACTTCGAACAAGAAACACTTCAAAGTCGAAAACACTCAGTAAATGCGTTTGTTATCGAGACACTAAATGCCTGAATGTCAACGTCTTAAGGGTTTTTTCGTTATAACTAAAAATATAGTTACTTATAGGAAAGTAGGGATAAATAAATAAGAGATAATGATGAATCTAAGGTCGATTATCAAATATTCGATCAAGTACGAACGAAGGTTTTGAGAACGGAAAACTTCGATATGCTTGATTTTTATGGTCCATTCGTTATCTCGGAGACAAGTATGCATCACATCAACAGCATCACGACTAAAAATCGTTGAATCGGCAGGTTCTACTGACACCAACTATGATTTTTAAACCGATTTTCAAGCGAATCTTCCTTAAACATTCTTCGTTTTATTCCATTTGTCTTATGCTATCGGACAAATGTCATGATGTCTATTGATTGAAACTTCCTATTTAATCTACGCTCATAGCTTCACATTTTTATATGTCACTGAATAATTTCATCAGTTTCATAAAGGCTAATGATTAATTTATGTAAATCGTTCCTATTTTCTTGTATGTTTTGGACGACAATATTGATTTTTTAAGAGAAGCTTTTTTCTTAGGTCTTCAAAAAGTTTTTAAGAGAAAGGAAAAAAAGAAAGAAGGAAATAAAGAGGGAAAGAGAAGAAGAAAACATAGAAGAAAATAATGATCTGGAATTTATGAGAAAATCAAGGTCTTCACTCATTTTACAGGATTGAAAAGGTACTATATAGTTGACATAGAACTTACTTGATACTTGGTACTTGAATGGCCCGTCCTCACTGGTTGAGCGGGCCCCACCATAATCTCCATTTTTCGGAGATTTGATGGTTAAGCCACTATGGTTCCCTGGAGTCCCGAAGTCAGTCTGGCCAAAGTCTGCCCCAGGTTCTCACTACTACAAGCAGTCGCAGCACCCGTGGATCAGAAGGAGATTTACCGCCATACAACTTTGATACCAGGACGGTGGTGCATCCTGGTATCGGTTTACTCTTAGTTGGGCTTCCTGATGGAAACACCGGGCTCCTCAGCTTGGGAGGCCCTGCGAGGGGATGAATCCCTCGCTGTACATCACAGTCCAACACTCTGGAACACCTCCCAGCCACGATGAGACAAGAATATCGAAATATAAGTTAGGAATTAATGAACTGGTCCATATTTGCACTTGATTCCTTTTCTTTGTGCTTGCTACTACACGAAAACAAGAAAGAGGACGGAAAGGAGTTATGCTGGGAATGGAGGAGGATGACGGAGTTATGCTCTTTTTATATTTGCTACTCTATTGTTGGATTGTTGTCGTTAAGAAACTTGTACTTCAATTACGATTTAAACTAATACCTATCCATACGATCAATACCTACGTGTATCGTTAAACAAATGTGTCGCACCATTCGTCGTAAAGTTCAATTCGATCAACGACCAAGCAGGGAAAAAATCAGTCCGACATTCAAAACCAATTCACGCCTCGAGAAATATGCCTAGTTATTACCTGCTATGGGAAATTGTTTTCCTACAGACGACATTCGACGCAGAATAGGCCGAATCGATAAATGCTCAGATTTGTGAAGACAAATACTTCAGCATCATTTCACATTCATACTTTGAATACTGGTACTAGGAGATTATTTGCGTGTCAGAATCCTCGTACTCTTCATCCCGTTTTTAAGTCTTACATGGAGATCAACTACTTCTTTGATAGGATGATTAGTTCATTTGTAACTCATAGTCAACCGTAAACACGATAGGATGAGAACACAACCTATGCAGTGTCTTTAGGCACATTATTTTCTCATTCTTTTTCCTTCTTTGTCTTTTTGTAACTCTTGTTCGATAAATAACTAGTTTTCGGATGCTTTATCCTATAGTGCAGAATCAAATCACACTTGTGATCCATCCGATGCCAATTCAGTTGCAACTTCTATTTTATAAGATAATAAATTTCGACGAATTTTACCCACATCTTTGGAACCTTAATCATCATAAATGGCACACCAAACAAGCAAAAAATGAAGACAACTTTTTGGATCACAGAAGGCATGCGAACTTGTTTAGAGCTATTGCAATGAGAATAATTCAAAAATAATCTAGCAATTGCTCGCCGATACCCGATCAAACATGGAATAACGAAGAAAGTACGAATGACACAGTAACAAAGAAATCTGCGAGGCCCACTGATCACAAGAGAAATCTACGACAGATATGTAATACAAACTTAAGAGATTACTACTACTGGCGCAAGAACAAATAACAGGACATCGAATAACGCAACCCCTCTATGACATGAATAGCAATGGATTCAAATGCTGATGAAAAGTGAGACGAAATGTTTCTTTAAAATCAAAAAATACCATGGAAATGTATAAATCATAAAGCCAACCACAAGTAAAGTTGAGTAGATTCTTTTAAGAAAAACTTCAGCTCTTTGGACCGTTGTAGCAATTGTACAGACGAAATAAAGAACGATGATTTTGATAGTGATGTTAAATGTTCTTATCAAATGCAAACCATCCTTCTAGAACCCGATTCCCTTTGCGATCTTCAGGACGATTTTTTAACTTTTGAAGTGGAACATACAGCATATACAACTTGTTGTTATCCTTCAAACCTCCAGAATTCCATACTGAAATCTCCAGAACACGAGTCGAAAGCACGTGGTCCCCATCCAATATGTCATAATAGATCTAGAAGACCAAAAACTCGCATTTAGACAAACCAGAAGAAATCTGATAACTTAAACGAAAAGGTATATTAAGTTTAACAAATCCACATACGTGTGAACTTAACGCATCGCTCTAGGGTGCGACATTATTCGAGCAATAAGTTAGTACATACCAAGCTATAAAATTGCTATGTCTCAAAATTAGATAGCGGTTATTCCATTCAATTTCCTATGGAACGCTCCAGCAATTTATAAAGCGCTCGCTGGACCGTTTGTCAATCGACAAGCAAAATCGATTTAACGTCAATTGACACCCACCTTCTTTGTTAGACCCAAATATTATAGCACAAAAAAAAATAAAGCTCTCGGTGTTGGTCAATCAATGATGGATGCGACATGCATCCTACTTCATGCAGCATCATTTGGAGGTGACTCTGGTCGTTACAATGAATCGCCGTGGCCTTCCGATATATCCAGCCAGTGGTGCTACCTTCCCAGAGAAGTCTGGTACCAGCTTGCCGACCCCAGAGGGATGGAAGGCTTGGTGTGCCATGGGCACGGAGGTCGATTCCACGTGTCTGTCGCAGTGGCTGCGCGCCCCTGGATATCTGGACTTTACAATGAGTCGCAGTGGCCTACCGATTTAACGAGCCAGTGCTGCTATCCTCCCGTACAAGTCTGGTACCAATTTCTGACTCCAGAAAGACGAAAGGCTTGGTGGCCCAGGCGCGCTGGGACCAATCCCACGTGTATTGCAGGGCACCTCCGACCACTGCGCCACGCGCGACGCAAATATTAATAAAACGAAACTCTTAAACTAAGTACGAACTTCTTATAAGAATTAAACATGATTAGAGCACATTTGCACCCACAACCAAAAAAATAGTAGTAACAAAAAAAGGTGATGGGACGAGATGAGTTTGCACTAATCGGATTATTGACGTTGAAATCTGGTAAGTTTCAAACTTAGTACGCATATACTGGTGATTTGGAAGACCTATGCACGGACAAATACAAGAAATTCCAAATATTACCAATATCCCTTAATATGAGGACTATGAACGTTAAAACGTCATTTCGCAATTGTAAGTAATTACTATGCCCGAAAAAATTATGAGCTTCAAGCACACCTCTCTGTTAAACGTGGGATTCTGACTTGCTTTGACGACCTGAGTCTTTCGTTTAGTAAGGTTATGTGGATCCGGACGGATGTACGACTTAACATAAGCATCCGGTGCTTGGCCAGTTGTAAGCAACGCTAAGTGCTTCACATGACCTGACAAGAAGAATAGGAACAAAAAAAAGTGTACCGAGGTAGCCACTCAAATATCTTACCAACAAATATGCTCAGATTCGAATGCTGTTTGTTACCATTGAACTGTATCCTCAGATATATTTCACATTGACTGTTGTGTGATTCCTTGTCCATATCCTCCGTATCTGAGAAAATAGGGCTGTATTTAAGAACAGTTAAGACTACATGGAAATTCAGCATGGTTCTCTTCATCTTTCTTATTATCAGGAGTACTAATGAAACCAAGAAGAGAGACTTATTGAGTCATAGTAATTGGTGAAAAACCATAGTGTGAACAGCAGCTGCATATAACCAATTTACCACTAAACTCTGTGTGCTTCGTGTGCAGTAGAACTATTTTAATATAACGTACCATTATAAGAATCGATGTCACTGTCACGAAGTATCAAATGGAAGAATGTGTACACCAAATCACACTGAAATGTAAATTTCTACTGGGTAATACAATTGCTCCAAAGAAAATTGGTTTTATAAGCACCTAAATGTCTTCCAAGCACGAGAGAAAAAGGATGTGAGCAAACTACACCATTTTCATCAGCTACCAAATGACTTTATATTACTTACCAAGCTAATTATAGACGTTCTACTACTATTTTACGAATAAGCTCACCAATTTGTAGCAACGTAAAAGAAAGAACAAAACCAAGGTCCTTATTAATATCTTCCCCATAATCAACAGCTTACGTGACAAACTTCCCGACTGAGAGTGAATAGGTAGCGCAGGAACGACTCCACATCAATCATACGCCTTTGAGCTACTTGGCGCACGTTGGAACGCATTTTGGTTCCAGAGCTGAGAGGCGGAAATGCTACTGTTGGAAACCTAAATAGTTTTCATAACATGGAAAGAACTGTGCTCCGATGGTAATGCATCATCCTTTATCAACAAAGTGGGACAAAACATATTTGTCTTCTATTCATTACTGTGAAATCAGTGCCACAAAGTGTCGCACAGAAGTGCCACAAAGTGTTATACATGGCTCACCGCCCACCAAGGTCTTTGTTTTAACCCTCGAAACACTTTCACAGCCAAAATGAATCAAAGATAAGTAAAAAAAAAACAAAAACCCCACTGTATGAATAAAATATTTTTTCATCTCACCTTCGGCGTAATTTGATGTAGAGTTCGTTGAATTCGTTAAATGACCGGTAAACAAACGTTGACACAGCTTCAGATTCTCGAACAACCTCGACTTTGTAAAACTGCAAAAGAAAGATTATTCATCTTTTATCAGGCTTTTTGCATGCAACGTGTTCAAGTACACTTACATATACTTTGTTGGGAATAAAGCGTTTCTCAAACGAAATAACTCGAACATGCACGATTTTTCCGTCCGTTGTTTGCCTGATAACAAATTGCACTAATAAACAACAATGAAAAAACAAACCATAGAAAAGAAAAAACATAAACACAAATCTCACTGCAAACAACGCTTAAAAAAAACTGAAAAACAAACATACGTGTAAAGTTGTGGTACAAAACTGAGAATGTTGTCATTGTTTCTTGCACTAGCTCCGGTGGACGACATCACTTGAGCCAAGGTATGAAAGAAGAAGTTTATCCGAGGAAACGCTGACTTCAAGGAGTGCTAAAAATCACAACGACGATTTATCTACAAGACTGAGAAGCCCAAAAAACATACATTGATCAATTGCGTGAACTGTATCACAGCATCAGTTTCACTCAACTCAAGCATAAGATTTTTTTCTACAAAATTGAGTGACTCGACATTCATACCAGATATATCCGAGCAGGCCATCTGAAAAATAAGTGTTTCTTTTGCAACAGATTTCAATAGTGGTTCATTTCGTAGCTAAGGGAAAATTCGTAGTACTCACAATTTTCAAAGGATTGGACAAAATGGCATAATTACGACGTAGGTAGTTGAATGCCCGACAACAGTAGTCTATGAAAGTTTGGTAACTTTCCTTTTGTTGATTGCCGCCATTTATAACGTGATACATTTCATCAGTGAATACAAATGGAACACGGTCTCTGAATGCATCCATTATAGTGTCGACAGAACAACCAAATTAATTCGGTGCACATGCGTGGACTTCGATACTTGGATGGCCCGTCCTCACTGGTTGTGCAGGCCGCAGCATAGCTTACATTTTTTCGAAGTTCCGCTGGCTTAGCTATTGTGTCCCGAGGTCAGCCTAGTCAAAGTCTGCCTCGGGTCGTCACCAACACAGGCAGTCGTCGTCCTTGTGGATCAGAGAGAGATTTTCCACTAACAGTTTGATACCAGGACGGTAGTGGATCCTGGTTTTGGTTTATTCTTAGGTGAGCTTTCTGATAGAAACGCCGGACTCCTCAGCTTGGAGATTTTACTGGGAGGATGAATCCTCCGCTGTTCATCGCAGCACGACACGCAGGAACACTTCGCAGCCACTATGAGGCCGTAAACCATTATGAGGAGCGCACATGCAGCGTAAAAATTTTAATAAAGGTCTGAAGAAGAAATAGCCCGAAAACTCATAGTAGGTGGATGTCAAACGACATCACTAAACTCTCTGAAATAATTATAAATTATTGTTACAGCGACCTTATAATGTGTGATGTGTGAAACATTCAACAAGCACATTTATGAGGAGTTCAAAAGCGTAAATACTTCAGGATAATAATACCTTTTAAATCCAGCAGCTGTTTGCCAGTCCCCCATGTATTTTCCAAAGTCAATGTGAAAGACATGGCCTGCTGTTGTTACAAGTATGTTGTCGTTATGGCGATCGCCGATCCCCAACACATATGTTGCCACACACCAACCAGCACACGATCTAGTGAAATTGTCCAACGCCTACAATCAAGCATATATATATATATGAATGTATATACATATATATATATATGCATATATATATATAAGTACACATATATGCATGTACGTAAAGTTCTTCTAACGTCACAAAATCCGGTAAACCATAAAATGAATTCTCATTCAGAACAAAAATTACTGATTGGACTACATTTTTAGCATAGCAAACTTACAAGAGTGAGCAAACCTGCTTATAGAGGAATTCAGTTGTATTGTGCTTCATAAGCCAGTTTCGAATAACATCTACTTTGAAAACACCCGTCATGCCGAATTCTTTTTGAATTTCGCACAGAGTAGCACAATTTAGTACCAATTCAGCCATTCCTTAAATATCACGAATCTAAATGGTGTATTAAAAGCCATTTTATTATTATTTCGAAAGATAAAATCCTACCTATAAATCGACAGAGAGATGTCCAAAGATAATTCTAACAGTATGAAATGAGTGTAAAATGAACTAGACAGCATTAAGCACAGCACATCAATAAACATACAAAAGTAGTTTTTCGACAACTGACAAAAATTTCCTGGTCATTAAACTACTTGAAGAGAACTCCAAAGACTGAGCAGAATAGAATTTGCTCTGTCGTCCTACGAATGTTAAGATATTGTTTCAAATTTTAACTTTCTTGAATCAGAATTTAAAAACAAGTGAAAATAAAAGTTAAATTACTAAAATTTCCTAGCTGGGAAAGGAATCTGAAAAAACGACTAAATTTGGAAACGCTATCGTGCTAACTTCCCGTTTGTTAAACTGCTTTCGAGTTCTCAACGCACCACGCGCTGAAGTGTGTTGGTTTAAACCTAAAAAGGGGCATTGTCTTCCCGACGAATGCACTGTACTCAATGCACGCCTGGAATTACTTGCAAAGTAATCCATTAGTCAGTCGCTTTGTTTCTCAGTAATCTCGAGGTTGTTATACAGCATACGGTCACTTCCATAATAAAAACATACGACACAACAGTAACTGACGTTCCGGCAGTACCGCCTTCTACCTAGCTTACCAGGCTGTGAAGAAGGCAAAACGTCCACAACGTCAGTTACTGTTGTGTTGTGGCTCTTGTATGCAAGCAAACGTATTCTGTATAATACCCTTGCGATTGGTAAAAATCAAAACGAGATATTTATAACCGAACGCCGAGGTTAATAGGAAGTTGATCCTGGAAACTCTTATAAGCTATAACTGTTTAATTTCAAGCTCAAATCACAAATTACATATTCCTTTGCTTCCTTCGTCTTCTGTTATAAAACTCTGACGTACCTTTCCTATATCCAACAGGCATACATCGGAACGTTATCATTCGTAGATCTAAACGCTCACTAAGCCATATATCATTCATAAATGAAACCATTTGCAATACTAATGCATCCTGTCTCATGTCATCGCCACTCTATAACACATACTGTCACTTATTTGAAAGATAGAATTAATGCACGCTAACCTTGTGAATAACTGAGTAGGTGGAATTTAGGCCACGAAACACAATTTTAAGTGGTTTTGCATTCGAATTGAAAATATTGCACTCTCTAACAACGACGCCACTGCACTTGAAGGATGGAAGACATGGCAAGCGAACATTGTGGCGAAGAAGAGTCCCATCTAAAGTTCCAAGCCGAGATCGCAACAAGGGCAACTGCAAAATAACAACCTTCTTAACACAAACTTCCAAAATAAATTACCTTTCGTTTGTCGAGAAGCAAGGAAACTAATGCTCACCCTTGTGTGCTCTGCATCCTCTCTTCGCAAGTCCATTTGAATACAGTCGAGTTCGTTCAGCAACTTGTGTTGACGGGCTATCTCGTCTCTAAAAACTTGGAGCATTATTTGAACTAAACGGTAGTGTGAAGACAGACTCACCTTAGGTGATCAGCCTCGTGGCGCTCTAGCAGTTCTTTTTGCAACAATGAACAACGTTGGGCATAGGCAAAATCAACGCAGTGGTCTATTCTTTGTTGCAACTGCCTTAAAATAAATGTGGCATAGACTGTTGCGAACAACAATGGCTACAGTTTGTTAGTTAAAACCTCACTGGCCACTAACCAATAGATTTCAAAAGCAAATCGCCGATCTTTGTATGAAAGTGTGAGTAGAGCAACGGCAAGTGAAGACGATTCGAAAATTTCAAATCGTAAGCCTTCAACAAGTTGCGGTAGCGCGTTGAACAGAAAATCAGAGGAAGCACATAAGATCCATTCAATTGCTTTCTGTCTAATACGCACATCTGGATACCTACGAAAAAAAGTCGTCAGATAACCTTTTCAAAAACAGTTCGTATCCCAGTTCCAAATGATTAGGCCCAAGAAACTACAGGGCGACTAACTGCGGAAGAAGAAGCTCCATAGCTTGAACAGGTGACAAAGACGCCCAATCTTCAATAATCTGATAGACATTTGACAAAAAATAGAAGCTCCAATCTGGAACGGACGCTAGAACCTAGAAATGATATCGATATTCCACGTATCACCAGTTCAGACGAAGTCAAAAATTTACAAGCGGTAGTGCTTCAGGTAGATGCATGAGATATGAACGTTTCTGCCACAGCATTTCCCTTTCATCGGATGTTAGTCTGAAATGATGTGCAATCTTCAGAAATACGCTGTAGAAAAGAAATCAAATTCACTTTTGCGTATCATAAGCTTCAATGAGATCCATTATATACTCCTGCGTCTCACTATCCAATGAGGACAAATCTTGCTTCACGCTGAAAACACATCAGAACAAAATACTTTATAAGTAAAAAGCACCTCTTCGAAAAAAAAAACAAAGGCAACCTCTGATATTCTACAACGACTTCAGGAAACACCACATCATAGTCATACGTTGGAAGTGTGATAATGAGTATTGCATCTTTTTCATTGGCAATGAGAGGATAAGGTCCCCAAGGTTTCAACACGGGATCCTTTAGCACGGTTAAAGGAACGAAAAGCTGTCCTTGACGCAACAGTCTGCAACTTCGTCAGTTATTGTCTTCTGTCACTGCTGCTTAATAAAATATGCAGATAACAAAAAACTAAGTCCGAAACAACTAGTACTTGACTCCATAATTACAAACTGTATAAACGGTACCCTCCCAACGGTTTACTGCCTCATCGTGGCTAGGAGGTTTTCCCGGGCGACGCGCTGCGACGTGCAGCGGGTGGATGCATGCCCCAGAAGGTTCTTTAAAGCTGAGGAGACCGGCGTTACCATCTGGAAGCTCATCTAAGAGTAAACCAACACCAGGAGCCACCACGTCCAGGTATCAAAGTCGCATGGTGGCAAAACTTCCTCTGGCTCATAATGGCGGCGACTGCCTGTGGTGGTGACAACCTGGAGGAGACTCTGGCTAGGCTAACCTAGAGCCTCCAAGGAGCAACAATAGATAAACTAGCAAAATTCCGAAGAAACCGGAAATTATGCTGGCGGCCGCACAACCAGTGAAGATGGGCCAACCAAATTTAAGTCGAGTAAGTATAAACGGTACACAATTGGTACAGCTGATCAATGCTACGAAATGCGACTCCACACTGTTACTTTCTATCGTTTCTCTGAAACATTGTCGGATAGTGAGAGTACTCAACAGACTATGCTATAGTGTTAACCATAATAGACCGACTCAGCAAGAAAGCCCAAATACTGAGGTCTGTTTAAAAATTTAGTCGGTTAGTGTTGTACTTGCCGCAAGGCATGAAGCAAATCACAGATTCAGGCCCTCTAAGTCACGGAACCACGAACTTACTGAGCGAAAAAGGGTTTGAAAACGAACCAAAACTAACCGTGAGCACACGCGGATTCATGGGAAGGATTACTAAGATTCATGGAAGACTACCCGTATTTGCTACGCCATAATGACCAGCTGAGATCTACACGTGATGACCATTTATATCCACGTGCATATATAAACGCATTTGCTCGCATCAAGATTGGATCTTGTCCTTTCGGTGATTCTTAGTTGTAATAAACTGATTGGACTACTGCTGGACTACAGCAACTAATTTCCATATCTACTCCGGCAGAGCTCAACTGAACACATTCAACCTCACACAGTCAAACAGAACGAACAGCCTATGAATGATATGCCCGCATCTTGAACAAGCTAAGACGACAAATAGTAAAAAGCTATATACTTACTTACTTAAATTATAAAAGCTATATAAAGTAAATAAAACCTTGCAACTCTCTTCAAAAAAAATAATAACTTACAACTTATGATCAAATAGTGGCAGTGATGCAAATGCTAATGAACGATGTGTATTTTCTGTTCCATCACTCGCACCTGCATTTGATGTAACAGCAATTCCAGAAAGAATGAACATTATCTTTGTCTCCCGCGGACAGGTGCACAACATTTCCTCGAAGCAAACCTGTAAACAACGTAGTCTCATCACTGCAAATGACACTATAGGACAAATACCAAAAAAAAAAATATCTCACGTAAACATTCATTGGAATATAAGGAAAAAACGCATCGTGTTTCACCGCCTTTGAAATACATTTATTATGACCAGCCAAGACCTGTGTTCCATAGTACACGCTCACCGTAATGAAGAACTCCGAGTAATCCCTTAATATACGGTTCTTCTTATGCAACATACCTTCTTAAAAACTCCTTAAAGGCCAAAGTTTACGCTTTATAGTAGTTCAAAGGAATATAGGATTTAAAGGAACGAAAACAAAAACGACGTCGGAATAACTAACTTTTAATAAATTACTATCAAAATCCAAGACAGGAAAGCGCTAATAGAAAAAAACAATTTCTCTTCACCTTATCCAGCTCTCCATCAAATTATGCACGGAGTTCACCATCACCTTCAATTTTTCTTTACAGTGCAGAATTTCCTTCTTGTCCTTCACCCATGGCTAAAAAATTACTCAAATAGTGCAAGACAACAGCTTTTCCGTCTAAACACGGAAGTTCATTGCAATACTTACACTAAGTGGTGTAAGCTTGTAAGAACTCAATGTGCATTGGCAATATATCGATATGAAACTATGAAGTGAAGCAACAAAATCATTGCGAGCACATCGTAGCTGACCCTGGAAAACGATAAACCATTTAAAAGAAACAATTTTAAGAACTATATCCAAGCCAGCTATGTATAAACTTACACTTGTAGCAGCTGTCAAATAGTTCTGCAAGTGTTGATGAAGATTTGTTGGTTCTATTGAATTTACCAACTTACATATCATCTTAACGCATTGTCGAACTTTATTGGAAGACGTAGAAACTATAACAAACTATGAGAAGTAAAGAAAGAAAATGAAACTTACAATGTGAACCATTTATTTGCAGCCTAATGGCAAGGTACGATGCGAAATACAATCATAACGACGTTGAGATATTCGCAAAACATGGACCCAGGGCCAGATCTGAATTTGCCGATTTGTTCTCCTCAAATCAATCCCGCTGATGGATGATTGCGGATGGTAGCGTTAGGTAGAAAACTTGCTGAGGGAAACGCAAACTAGGGCCTCCGTGGTGCAGTGTGTAATAGGCGAGCCTCCGAGAAGCGTAATCGTGGTTTGTTCTCGCCCGGGTCCAAGTTTTGCCTCAAATACCCCTAATACCTCAGCATTGTTATAGTAGACAGCTCACAATAAAGTCTGTATTGTTGGCGTGAAGTCTGAGGTATACGAGATATAACTCGCTAACCGCTGTAACTCCTAACTCATTTCTTCAGTAATTTAACAAGTAATTGTTCGGTGACGCGAAACTAAACACTTACTGCTAAGTGTTGAGGATGAGCGGAATGCTAATTCATAATCGGCCATCTCAGATTTAAGATGAACTATCATATTTTCAATATCCTCCTTATCCAAGACGGAAGAAAACTTGAACTGCGTTCTAAGATTAGATTTAAAGACGTAAAAAAACATATGGGCAACTTTTGCAACTCTGAACTTACTTCATTTTCTCCCACGGTGGAGAAGGGCTAGATGAACGAATAAAAGATGGCTCAAATCGCCCAATCTAAACAGATTATAAGAGACGTGAGCAAGTAGCGAATAAAAAGGATGGAATTTAAAAAATAAGCACCTCCAGTTTAACATCCTTCCCATGAAGGATGCAGTTCCCGACGTACAAATTATGCCCTAAGACAGACGTTTTTGGAAGGAATTCGTCTAATCCAAATATCTAAAGAACCAGGACGTAGAACAAGAGAAAAGAAACAAATACGCAACTTTGAAGTGGCGAAAGTGAACGTTAACATCAAGATGCGCACAAACAGAGCGCAATTGAGGGATTAGTGAAAATAGACCTATTAGATGCGGAAATCTTACAAACATCAGGCACATTCACTTTCTCTACGCCTTGCTTCAAATCCAAAAAAATGGAATTAATGAAAAGATCGTTTTCGGATAGGATAAACTATTCACACGACATCATAATATATAAACAATTAGATACTCAACTACTAACCTTGAGACCGTATTTTTCAACCGGTACGCCATTCAGCAATTCCGATTCGCTTAGCAAATCGGCAAGCAGTTGAGTTATGAGCAACTCAACAGAAGTTTCTGTATCACAAGTGAGTGCCAATTCCACGTGATCGTTGTGCGTCCACCTGAATACTAAAGAATTAAGACATTGTGATAAAATACCACTAAAAAATGTGGAAAACTTTGTTCTAACTGCGAACTCCTTGTAATAAACCATGATAAGAACGCTGGAAAGTGGAACTAGACATTCTCATTCTACGAAATGAAAACAGAACCAAATGATAACCTTCAGAATCCGCTATGCACTTCCACTTTTAGTCAAGTCAAGGATCTAGTTCCTTCGCAAGCTATCATACATTTAAATTACCCGAGTAGCTGAGATAACACCGTTATAATACTTAAATTTTCACTGTTAGTACAATTCACGTCTCCCAACAGTTTACCGCCTCACCGTGGCTGAGAGGTGTTCCCGGGTGTCGGGCTGTGATGTGTAGCGGGGCGATTCATCCACTTAGCAGGGTCTCCCAAGCTGAGAAAGAACCCGGCATTTGCACCAGGAAGTCCAGCTAAGAGTAAACCAGCACCAGGATCCGTCACCATCCTGGTACCAATCTAGTCGCATTGTAGGAAAGCTCCCTCTGATCTGCAAGGGCGGCGACTTCCTATGGTGGTGCAGACTTTGCCCAGGCGACCTCGGAACCTCAGAAAAACACAATGGCTAAACTAGCAAAACCCCGAAAAAAGGAGAATATGCTGGTTTCCTCACAAATAGTGAGTACGGGTCGTTCAAGTATCCAAGTAAGTAAGTGCACTCCATGAGAAACCAATACAAATTCAGATTAATAGTACTTATTTTTCACTGGTTTCCGATTCCTTCCTTCATTTTTTTCTAATTACGAATTCCCCGAAACTTACGTGTAATCTTTGCTAACCACAACCTTAACACTTTTTGCTGATGTAGTCATATAGTCCGCTATAGGAGACATGAAAAATAACGATGATGCAGTGCAGCTTTTCATTCCACGTTCCTTTACGATGGCAATCTGAAAATTTCCTATATATAGATAGTAAATCGGAAAGATTATATTAGAACATATCTTTACTTTGATCATATGACAGGCAATAGTGAAATGTGAAGCATATACCTGCCGTAAAACGGACGGCACGTGGCTTTCCAGACAGATACTGTCGAGCGAAAGCCATTCACTCCTATTGCACTCTTTAGCTTCATCTTTGCTAGGAAGATTGGTTTGAGCAGCGTTGGCAACACCAACTACCATAAAAGAATCGATGAGTTTATATTATTAAGATAAAACAGGTATGATGATTAACCTTGTTCTTTCCTGTAAAGCGGAGTTTGAGACGGTTGAAATGTGGATACAACCTGGACGTTCTTATCTGGGGAGTGATACAGGGGGTCGAAATCCCGTCGAATCTAAACATTGTGGTACTAAATTTCCGGACGGTAACTATTAAAGAACTTCAGCCAAAAATAAAACGTGAAAGCTATGTGTTTGTACTGTGAAACAGAATTGATGTGAGTGGATTTATTGATATGAACTTATTACAGCGGGGTCAAAAAAACATACATAAATACATACATACAAACACACACATTACATGACGCTCCAAAGGGCACTGGTCGGAAAACCAATTAAATCCTTGCTCTGCTAAATCCTATTTTACAATCAAAAAAATACAAGGCATCTTCCAAGTCTAGAGTAAGCGAGTTAGTGGTGCAAGCAAACATTGACCTTGAGGAACCAATGACTTCCAACGAAAGCATTCTATTGCATCATAGAGTTTCGATTATAATATCAACAAATTGTCCATTTGATCCAGGAATTCACAGGAACGTTCCTGAAGAGTCATTCAGGTCCATCTCCAGAATAAAACAACTAGGCCAGTTTTGGAAACAACTAAATACATCAGGTTATGCTATCTGTAATGAAACGTATTGCGGGCTGCTGGTAGAAAGATTGGAGCGCTCTGTAGTGTCTGGTAACCTAACCTTAACTTAATCACAAATCAAAACACTCGGAAGCGATTTGGACAATGCTTTTGAAATAACGATAGACATGGCTGATCAAATGGACAACTTGCCGAATCTACAATTGAAAGTGTATGATGCGATGGAGTCCCTTCGTTGGAACTCATTGGTTCCTCAAGGTCGATGTTTTCATGCACAACTAATTTTGGTTATTCTTGATTCTAGCAAAGTTTACAACCACTTGGTGAAAATGATTTTCAAACTTCAAGGATGGTTACCTCCTGATGCTCTGGAAAGACACCAGACCAAATTCAGGGACGTTTTTCTTCGTACAAAAATGTTTCATGAGAAATCAAGTGGTCTTCAGTACTTCAAGTGCTCGATGTCTATTCCAACACTGCCATCTGCACCACCGAACTTTCTTCAAACTTCCGACCTAGATACTTATCAGACACAACATGGAAATCTGCATTCAGAAGGGTTTGAAGACAGTCAGTCAGTTGTTCCTCATGAGGTATTGCTGGAACTTGGTATGAAAGAACAACATTCACAACTACAGCAGTCAAGTGCTACTTCTGACGTAGACCCACGAAATGAACGAAATTTGTCACATACTCGAGACTTGGAAAACGAGCCGTTCGCGAAGGAAAGGCTGTTTACAGAAGCGTTTTTACATTGAGCAATATGAGAATAGGTTGGATCAAATGCAAAACGAATACGAGAACGCAAGGGAGTTTTTTCATTGCCTATCGCATTTTCTCATAACTGTATAACAAGTTCTTAAAGGGATTTAAAAGCTTTTACACTGTTGGTGAGAAAGAACCAATTCAGAAAGATTCAGAAGGATTTATTAGAAAGAAAGATGTTATTCAGAAAGAAGAACCAGTATTTAAGAGAATCACAACGTTTAAAAAACTTTCCCTCCAGATAGCTTACTCCGACATAAAAAGAAACGAAACTATAAGATGTAGATGAAAGAGTCCCAAAAAGAGGCAATAATGCACCTGGTCTAGTGCAGCATTTTGACACCACTCTTCCTCGGTCGATCCCAAATCGATCAAATCTCCGTTAAGTAAACGGTTCGAGAACAGCGTATAAGGCACGTACAAGTCGGTGTTTACATAAGACATCGTTTCCAATGAACTACTAAAAGACAATAATCATTAAGGACTCACTAAGATAGAAACAAAAATGGTTCCCTGGTCAGTCAGCCATTTACAAGTGAACGATCTGAGGAAAAGCAAACGAGCTATGATGACTGCGGACCTCATCAAAATGACAACTTGACACAATAAAATGGTAACAAGTGCATATCAACTATGAGAACAAAGTGATTAGAAAAGCGGATAGAGTTCTTAGCGTTGATCAATCCTTGCGGGATGCGTCATGCATATGATTTCATTAAGAATCGTTGGAGGTGATTGAATGCATATCTGGCCTTTACAATCATTCACGGAGGCCTACCGATGTATTGAGCCAGTACTGCTTTCCTCCCAGACAAGTCGACCCCGAAGGGATAGAAAGCTTGGTGAGCCACGGGCACGGGGATCGAACCCATGTTTGTATTGCAGGGTTTTTCCGACCACTGCGCCACACGCACCTCTATCAAGACGAAGTGATTAGAAGACCAAAACGAAAACTATGTCATTACAATCGAGATTAAAGTTGTTTGTTGTCGATTAAAGCATAAAAATTAAGGTGAAACAATTGGTACTCAGAAGTGCCTTATGCACCTTAGCCGGAACTTTATTAGGTTAAAAAAACCTCTTAAAACCAACAGATGTATGCTAATAAGACAAAACTTTTCTCTCATACGTTAAACAGTAAAGTTCTGATCTTTTTTAAGCCCAAAAATGGACCTCCCAGCCCTTTTATCCCGATAAGGATAGCATTTCGACCAGAAAAGTCACCAAAGAAAAAAAATTTCGGCCGCCGGACTCGGTGATATTCTCTAGTGTTTGCAGTTGCAAGGCTTGCGTTTACAGTGACGTCTTAAGGTTTGTCTTCACCTTTCTGAAAATTTAGGTCCTAAATACTTTTGAAATTAAAATTCTCTTGAAAAGCAGTGTGGAACTTTAGATCGTCACTATAACATATTTTCCAAAATGTTTTCTATAAGTGCAACAAGCCCCCCACACCTCAAGCACTCTGGTTTTCGAACAATTTCTCGGAAGTTATCGAAAAGCTTCACAGTCTAAGTATTAAATAACTTAACGCTATTATTTAATACACCATTGAAGATCCTATCATATAAGAAACCATCGTATGAAGCAAAGATAAACACCGTAAGGATATTGTCAAGACTCTTAACAAGATTGAAGTTAGTACAAATGGAAGGAAAAAACGATTAGCTGTAGTTAGAACTTCACAAAACAGGATGGATGTTAGGAAGAATATGATCAACAGTGGAAACACTCACGCAATAGTAGATGGAACACCTAACTCATCTTCAGCACCCGTAGATGTGAGCCGAGAGCTAGCTCGAGGAAGCGCTTTAAAAAATCAACATTTCAAAAACACATTCGTCCCTGTATCAAACATCACAAAAATCACAAATCAAAGACTCCAGATTCCACGTTTTCGTTGAAAAAAATAGAGTTCATAACAATACAAACCAGGATATATGGACGTAATATTGCTTGGTGGTCGCGATGGAGGATGCAGTCTAGGTGGTAAAGGGGGAGGAGTGTCGAGAACCACTAGGAGTTGGAAATAAACTGACTAGTAGTAGATATAAATACAAATATAAATATATGCATTGCGGATAATCATATATACACATGTATATATATATATATATATATATATATATATATATACTAGCCTCAGACGTACATATAACTGTATATATATGCGCGCACACATAAACGCATGTATACGTATATAAAGGATAAAAGATAAAGCTCTGGGCGTTAATCAATCCTTGAGGAATGCGCCATTCATTCGACTTCATTGGTCATTGATTGAGGTGAATGAACCTATACAATGATTCGCGGTGGCCTACTGATGTATCGAGCCAGTGCTGCTATCCACCTAAACAACTCTGGTAGCAATTTGCCGACCCCGTGCGGATGGAGGGCTTCGTGGGCTAGGGCCGCGGGAATCGATCCTATGTGTACCACATGGCGCCTCCGACCATTGCGCTACACGCGTGTGTATACGTATACATGTGTCTTGCATGTGTATACATACATATACAATATATATGTATACAGTCTATGTATAAAGAGTAATTGAAGAGGAAAGGAAAGCTTACTCTTCACGTCAGGACAAAGTGGAAACACCTTATTCTGGTATGTCTTTGGAGGTAATGGTGGAGGTGGAGCATTAGCGACAGGATACGTTTGATCATCGAATGAAAACGATGATGAACTGGCAATTTGTTGAGGAAGAGGCATCGAAGTACAGGAAAATTGTTGAGAAGAGCAGCATCCGGAATTGGTAATGGCATTCATTGATCTCGTGGTATCATTTGGGCTAAAAAATGCGGATGAATCAGCACGAGAAAAAATGTGACAGCGTCAGAGAAAACAATATTCTTGACAAGCTTACGCCAAACGGTATGATTCAGTACTAAGATGACTATACAAACGGTTGATCTGGTTAATCTGTTCTCTACGAAGTGGTGCATCAGGAGATTCAAACCGAATCAGATCATTGCCCTCGTTCCGACGTCGCTCTTCTTCTTCATATGTCCTCCTGAAGCAAAACTATTGTGATTTCGATTTGGTACTATTAGATAAAAAACTAGGTAAGAGAAAGGCGAAACGAAGGACCCGTATGGTGCGGTGGTAAACGCGTTATCCCCGGAAAGGATAATAACGCGTTCGCTCCCCACCGGAGAGACCGCGGGTCCGGAGTTTCGCAAATATTTTAGCACCGCGACTACTGTAGTTCTTCTTCACATGCCTACCTATTACCACTATTTTTGCCATTCATGCGACTTGCTAAATCATAACTAATTGACAGCATAGGAGAAAGTGAAGGAGAAAAAAACATACTTGCTCAATTCCAGAGCTAACTGTAGCTCAGGGTCATACGTATCCTCCGACATACGGTCAAAGACACCAAAGTGGACACATTACTGAAGACGAAGAATGATCAAAGTATTGCTGCGAAACCAAAACAAATGAATGAATACACAGGAGAACGACAAAACTGATGACTCATGTTTCAGAACCATGAAAAATTGTTTGGACACGTAGAATACTAACTACTCCAGTAAAATGAAAACGTGCAAGGTTATGCGAGAATAAATCCAAGAATTTCTCGATGTGTTATCAAAAAAACCACATGGAGAATACCTTATTCTCCCCTATTCCTCCACGCTGTACCTATATACTAAGGCATCGTTAAGGAATTGCTTTCACTGAGCTATTAAAAGCATTAAAACCTTGGCTGAGCTTAGGACAAAGCAAGTTTGGTCATACGACAGTACTCCTATCAATGAACTTCACCATAGAAATAGTGCTCCATTGACACTATAAAAAATGAATCCACCCTGTCGTGCGTTTTCCGATTTGAGCACGCTTGTTAAAGGTCCGTGCAAAACGATAGGTGCGTGATTGTCTTAATGCTATACTGAACGAATAATGGCATTTGATTTTCAGTAAAGGCACAGTTACTTAATGAATAAAAAATATGAATATGTCCTTTACTGGAGCTTGATGTTTGGAGTTCGATATTCTATTATACACGCTGGCAAAAATGAGTGTTTGGTGTAACACCTGCTAAACCGTACGCATTGGTTTCAAAACATATATGAAGACGAATAAGAAAGATTAGATAATGCGAATTGACTTCGAAGAACTTCGTTTTGAAATATTTTTTGCTGAGCTGAGATTTTTCGATGCTTTTTGTGCTCAGTCAGTCATATATACATTATTTTTTTGTGTTAGGTCGATATGCCTGTCACGAATGATGTACGAGTGTGTTTTTGAGATAAGCTGTTCTTTTCTCTACACATCAAATCTGCTGACAGAAAGCTTTCGGGACGAGTTTGTTCGCTTCCATGAGTTCATAGCCGAGCTGAGCAGAAAGTGTGCTACAGAGGCTGTTGCTTATGAGGAAGGTTTATGTCGCCTCTGTTGTTTCCCTTCATCGACGTACCGACAACTGCTCACAAAATCGTAAATGTGCTATCAAACAAGGTTCATTTGGAAACACTGCAGGTTCTCAGGTCCCGTTATCATGAGGTTCCACTTATTTTACAACACCGCGTTGGAAAAGTTTCTCTTTACAATCAACTAGTTACTAGTTTTTCTGCTCATATACCCTCCGTGATAAGAAAATTGGTACGACACTTCTTTGGGATGAGCTCACTCCTTACAGTGAAGGTGAGGACATTTTTGCACAGCAATACCAAGACCCTGTCAATAGTTTACCGTCTTTTCGTGGCTGGGAGGTGTTCCTGTGTGTCGGGCTCCGATGTAGAGCGGTGAATTTATCATCCAGCAGGGCCTCCTAAGCCGATAAAGAATCCGGCGCTTTCACTAGGAAGCCCATCTAAGAGTAAACCAGTACCAAAATCCATCACCGTTCTGGTACCAAAGTAGTCGCAGGGTGGCAAATCTCCTGTGCCACAAGGGCGGCAACTGGCTGTGGTGGTGACGACCTGGGGCGGACTTTAGCTATACTGTTCTCGGGACTCCAGGGAAACGTAATGGCTAAACTAGCATTACTCCGAAAAGTGGAGAATTTGCTGGGGTCCACACAACCAGTGTGGACGGGCCGTCTAAGTATCCAAGCAAGTATTGTGCCCACTGATAGAAGCATAATGTAATTAAGCATGGTGTAGCATACTCATACTAAGTGTCTTGTCACATGAGTATCATAGGTTTACCACCAGATTTTATTGAAGGGATAACTGTAGCACAGGATATTACGCGTGGGACCCTTCAGCGCACAATTTGATTGCTCGGTATTCCCGCCGGCCAGATGTCCGCGGAAAACACTTTCTCACAGTTGACATACATATGCCATAAATTTCTTATTGTCACCGTTCGTTTGCCGTATTTCCGATCTTCGTCGAGTGCATGACGAGCTCAAGCGATCATCTATTTCAGGTAATGTCTTCTGCTAAGGTGTACATATGTCGTCGCCAAAGCGATGAACCTCGCCCAGAGTTTATGGACGAAATCCAGGAGGTTCGTCAAAATTATCGATACGTAATGGTAAGTCCTCGACTTTCGCACTGTTATCAAAGTGTGGGACGAAAATGCGTAATATTATGATAATTCACGTATGTGTTTTTATTGTTGTTCAAGCACAATTCATTGCAAGCAAGTATTGCGTGCCCCACAGCTTTGCCATCACAGCACTACTATTTAGCTGATGGCACATTTTTTTGGAACATAAAGTGTGTTTTGGGGTATCCCATGTTTCCCTGAGCATTTCCACCCTACAGCAGTTCTTTTACCACTCCTGAGTGCCCATTGTTATTTTAAACACGGATATTTACAATGAATTAATTCGGAAAATGGTACTTATAAAAACAGTCATGACGTCACAACTTCGACTACAAACTGAGTTCAGCTATGAGTTGAATGACTGACGTAGTACTGGTTACCAAAACGTTTATCCAGCCATGATTTCCCAGTTAGCTGTGAGGCAAGTAGATGGCCTGGTTGTCAGTTAGCAATTTGTAGAACGATGGAATTCTAGTAGGACATAAGAAATACTTCCTATTTCGTGTCTCCAGATGTGGCTCCGGACTCCGGTGGAATGAGAGCGTCGGTTTACCAGGGCGCAGGATCGATCCAAAGAGATTTGAATTGCTTAAATCCTAAATAGTAGCTCCTTTCAGAAAAATGTCTATTTGCTAGTGGATGAAATCCAGTTCCTTTTGAAGTATGCTTTTTCGTTCCAGATTAGGAGAGAAACGATGAGGAAAGCTTTCGCAACAGCGCTACTCGTTCAAATGTGGACGAGTTAGGTTCAAATCTGTCAGGTTATCGAGACACCGCAACAATGTGCAGTTGAGCACACCTATTTCTGAATAGTAAGTGTTTCTTCCTCAATTGAATTTTTGCACGAACGAAAAGTATCTTCGGAAACTGGAACTCATCTACTTTTATTTGATAAGAATTATCTCTGTACTCGCTCTCACTATGATTCGTGTGCTCCATATGTATATACGCATACAGATATATACACGCATATATATATATATATATACATATATATATACATATGAAGTATAAAGCTCTCGGCGTTGATCAATCCCTGCGAGATGCACCATGCATTCGACTTCATTAAGTGTCGTTGGAGGTGTTTAAATGCATATCTGGCCTTTACCATGGCTCACCGTGGCCTACCGATGTATCGAGGTGGTATTTCGAAACCGACCTTCCATAAACCTCGGTGTGACTAATCAATATGTATTCTTTCTTGATAAGCTTACACGAGGTTGATAAATATATTTATTTTCGGCTAACGTTTCGACGTCTTCGTCTTCCTCAGAGCCGGTGATCCGAGTCGATGGTCCATGCTTGTTGTTCGCCTCGACGTTGCGTCTTCGCCTTCCTGTCGAGCCAGATCTTCGTCAGCGAGCCATCTTCTCGAATGAGGCATCCTCACTCAGTGATGCCCTTTTATACACGATGCTGATGGTGGATATANCGAGGTGGTATTTCGAAACCGACCTTCCATAAACCTCGGTGTGACTAATCAATATGTATTCTTTCTTGATAAGCTTACACGAGGTTGATAAATATATTTATTTTCGGCTAACGTTTCGACGTCTTCGTCTTCCTCAGAGCCGGTGATCCGAGTCGATGGTCCATGCTTGTTGTTCGCCTCGACGTTGCGTCTTCGCCTTCCTGTCGAGCCAGATCTTCGTCAGCGAGCCATCTTCTCGAATGAGGCATCCTCACTCAGTGATGCCCTTTTATACACGATGCTGATGGTGGATATATAATGAGGAAGACTCGCTGAGGAAGATCTGGCTCGACAGGAAGGCGAAGTCGCAACGTCGAGGCGAACAACAAGCATGGACCATCGACTCGGATCACCGGCTCTGAGGAAGACGAAGACGTCGAAACGTTAGCCGAAAATAAATATATTTATCAACCTCGTGCAAGCTTATCAAGAAAGAATACATATCGAGGTGGTGTTGCTATCCTCCCAGACAAGTCTGGCACCAATTTGCCGACTGCGGAAGGATGGAAGGCTTGGTGGGCCATGGGCTCGGGAATCGATATTACGTGTGTGTCACAGTGACGCCTCCAACCACTGCGCCACACGCGCCCTATATATATATACATACGAATGTATCAGAAACCTCTCAGCGGTCTACCGCCTCATCGTGGTTGGAAGGTGTTGCTCTGTGTCGGGTTGCGATGTACGGCGGGAGATTCATCTCCCTGGCAGGATCTCCTAAGCTGAGAAGGAGTTTGGCGTTTCCATCAGGAAGCGAAGCTAAGAGTAAACTAATACCAGGATTCGCCACCGTCCTTGTACCAAACAAGTCGCGTGGTGGTAAATCTCCTTCTGCTCCACAGGGGCAGCGACTGCCTGTTGTGGTGCCTGGGGCAGAGTTTGGCCTCCTGGCTGAACTCGAGACTCGAGAGAAACACAATGGCTAAATCAGCAAAACTCCGAAAAATAGAGATTATTCTGTGGCATGCACAGCCAGTGAGGTCGGGCCGTCCGAGTAAGTAAGTATTAGAAAAACTTAACCTGAAGACGAAGTGTCAGAAAGTAAGGATTAGGCGTTTACAATGAAACCCATATCATATGAATGGTAGGATGCAAGTCTACCAATGAACGTCAAAAGTTGAACTTCAGTCTACCTTGTAGCAAAACCCTCCAACTGCTTCGAAAACATTTGTTCTTTCTCACTTGCAGTTTGCTCACCTTTAATAGTGCATTTCGCCCAAAGAGATGTAAGAGCACGGTGATTATGGCCGACGAATCACATGAATTAGCATTGAAGCTATAACATAACAACACAACATGTAACGTAAGAAGATGACGTAGCGAACCACAGTTTAACTCTTGCGTTGAAGTGCAGCAACACCGACTGCAAGGCGTCTTGAAGCGACTGTCTCGTGATTCATAAACCACCATCCACAGAGGTAGATAACCTACACAGTATTGAACGAATTAATAGTTATTCATCTAGTTAGTAAAGTTTAAATAGATAGAAGAACTAGTTTCGTAGAAAGAGGAGAAATGCGAGTGAATTTTTCATGCATGCTTATTCAATTTTGAAACATTTCACAGCGCAAAACAATGTGGTTCATTACTCATCAAAAGAATGACCCTATGATCGCTAGTGCTCATAACAGCGCCCACGACAGTTCACACGTAGATGGTCCAGAAAGTAGACTAGATTAAGGAATAGACCAGCATAGATGCGGTTGCAAAGGAGATGCACTCTATTTTTCCCAACAAAAGAATTAGTCATGTTGAATGCAACAGCATGTGAGATGGATAATAAAACATGCTCAAGGTAACAATCAAGCATTATCAGCCTTCTAGTGCAGAACGGTAGTATCCGAATACACAATACCTCCTCTCCACAAAATGCTCTTTTCTTCTCAAAAGAGATTCGTTTTCAATGTCATAAGAATATTATTAAGGTTGAATTAGGGCTCAAAAAGGTACTAATCAAGACGGTAGTTTCACGGTTCAAAGTAGCAGGCCACCATTTATCGGGAAAGAAAATAATTTCTGTAGGCTTGAGAAGAGATTCACGAGAAAGTTTTTCGTTAGGTAATGAGAGAGATATCAGCTAAGGTATGTGTGAAATACGAAAATGAAAAAGGTGCATGAAGAGAACTAGTATTTGTGAGGAAATACGCACCACTCTGAGAAAGACGAAGGCGTCGAAACGTTGGCCAGTTAGAGGTTTTATACCAAACTCGTGTCAACTTATTACTTGGATGGTCCGTTTTCACTGGATGTGTGGGCCCCAACATAATTTCCGTTTTTTCGGAGTTCTGCTAGCCTACCCACTTGGTTCCCTAGAGTCGCGAGGTCAGCCTAGCCAAAGTCTGTCCAAACTTTATAATGTAGGAAATTATGGAATTAATATCAGTTCAAGTACTGCAAAGTTATATGTGATCTTAGTATTGATAACACTCTATTATAAATCGTTCTGATTAACATTTGCAAGAAAATTATTTATCTTAAACGTACTGTGCCTGTATGCATAGGCAATGTTTTATATTTAAAGGATTATTCACAACCACAAAAGAAAGCCAAGGTTTGTGTTAGCTGTGTGATTGGGTGGTAACTGGTTACCAGATGGCACCGTTTTTATTTCCCATCTTGCATTATTACAATTTTCAGGATTCTTCGGTGATTTTCTTATAGCTCGAACACAGTGCCAACTTGGTTCACTCTATCACTGAAGTTGAGAAAGATGCTGGATCAAATGAAAAAGCGATAATGGATAAATTGAGTACGAACGAAATTATATGGAACAGATTATTCGAGTACATCAGGCGATTTTTAAGGCATATACGTAAAATTTGAGCGCTTCATTATTTGCGAGGTTAATTTCACCTTCACCTCCTCTACTCTTACGTTTTTCTGTGAAGATGCGAAATAAGTTACAAGGTGATATAAAGCAAAGGCGAAATTTGCAAAAGTCGAAGGAATAACATTGTTATTAGGTTATTGCATATGGGATTTATTTCTTCATATATGTTTTCAATAAAGGCTTTCTCTTCATTACTAGTAATACAAAAGGTTGTGAACCGGAGTATTTTCACTGTTACCTTTATGCACACTAGTCTTCAATGTTGTTTTGATCTATTCTGGCAGATATACTCTTACTGTACGGAATGCCTTCTAAGAAGGAGAGACCGCAGCAGGATGACCACGTGTCCCCACCATCTTCGCGAACACGGCAGAAAGTAGGAGGTACAATTTTTCAATTCATTTGATCATATGTAGAGGTTTGACGAATTACGCGTTGCATCTTCAGAAAGGAATTGTAGTAAACTTACATGTTTATTGTCTGCTTTCCGAAATCGCTTATAAAATGTTTCCGGGTTTTTTTTCGCCAGTTTTGTACTGGCGGGACGATGGGGACATGAAGTTAAAAGAAATAGTTTCCTGCAGTTTTGCAATCGTGAGGTCCGTACTCTAGTATACTACAGCGCTCGCCAATGTATGAGAATGGGAAGTCATCTGCTCAAAGTATAAAGCCGTCTTGCAACACACGTTTGTTATTGAACCATAACTCGCTCAATCGATTGTCATTATTTCGGGGGAGGAAGAGAGAGAGAGAGAGAATCTTCTTAAAGCTGGCTGATGTGAGACTAATTGCCGCTGTTCTGGTTTTATAAGGAGGAGTTGCGTTAGAGATTAATTTTGTGCGTTATCCTTGTGTGTGGAACTATGACTAATTTCGACTACGAGGGCTAACTTATAGCAGCATTTGCTGTGAATCTAAATGTACTCTCACCGATTGCACCATTCCCCCATTCAAATTAGGTCGATCATTTTGTACTGTTTTCTCTGCTTCCGTTTATCTCTACTTTGATATAATCTTTCGACCCGAATCGTAGGTTTATGTTTGAAAAGATGTAGACCAGCTTTGACGATGTTTTTTATTTACCATCCGAAAACTATGGCGAAGACGAGATCAAAGAGCGCTTTCTGGGTTTGAAGAAGTATAGAGAACGCTATATCTTCTTTAAGCTAATCACTGCACCATGGACATTGAATTTTGTCTTCGTTGTAGTTCTCTACTCCGATGTCAGACATGCAACCTTGTGGGTTAGGAATCTTGTAACACGAGGACATGATAAGAACCGCACATCTGAAGGGTGCGTGGGTTCTCCTCAACAGCGTGACGCGCAATTCACACATTTTCTTTTAAAATGTAGGGTTCCTTGTCATCAAAGATCTATCAGGTCCGTACTGTTGCAAAATAAGGGAGACGAGCATGATATCGGCAACTGTCTTGTTATCCGCTTCGTCCCTGTCGCTTATCGTCTTCTCATTACGTATAGCAATCAGTCTAGAACGATTTAGATCTGAACGGCTGGCGAAACTGCCGCCAGTCCTCATCAGCATGCTGACTGGGCTTTCCGCATATTACCCTTCAGAAGGCAAAATTCCTAGTTAATGGAAGGCCAGAAAACAATACCGTGTTGTTGCGAAAGATCCATATGAAAACACATGGCAGGTACCATCCCAACCACCTGATGTTTGTCGTCCACAAACTCTTCATATTAGTTATCCTTAATGGAATTGGCAGAGCATTGGAAATTTGAGCAAGCAGGGATTTTAAAAGGGATTCAATACGGTGGATCTACAATGTAACGAAATTCAATTAAGTGTCATGAAATTATGCGAGGAGCTAACGCTAACCTAAGGAGACTGGTTTCGTTTTTAGAACCATACTGGAAGCTCTGGATAATCATGACGTCCACACAAACATTATGACACGTACAACTTACCTACCGCCTGGGCTTCGCTATTCTTCAGTGAAATTAACATCACTTAGACTAATTTTGACAAGGCGATACCACCTCCCTAAAATTACGTGCTGCTGCGTTTGAAGGTGTTATGTGGAAACTGGAATGGGATAATGTGAGGATGGAAACCCATTTCGGAAGCTACACCTTCCTCTCATTGTTGATAATGTTGTTTTCATAGCATCAGGAATTAGCCAGTATGAACTAATGGCGACAGATTTCGTCAACACGTATCTTCGAATCACGCGAAGACGTTTATGAGAAGGGTATTTTGTTTATAGTACCCCATACTCTCTCAACGGATTGAATATTTACAAAAGCTGCAAGTATGTATAGCAAGGAAGTCAGCATGGTTAATGAAGCAGCTTCAGAGCTGAGCAGCTGAAAACCATTGACTTAGAGAGTCCACCATAATACGACGATGTGGTAAGGCAGACAAAAAACGGACTTATCGGACGATCGAACGCGCTTTCACGAGGTCGATGCTGGGAATATAGCTTTTTCTGCAATTGAGAGAAGAAATCTGGCATTTCAATCTAAACCAACGATCGAGAAAAGCAGGAGCGGCCAAATGCGCTAAAATCTGGAGAATGCGATATACCCCCTTGCGCGGCGATGCTTATGCTATAAAGTTGCAGATGGCCGAGAATTGTTGCTCTCTTCAAATTTAGACAGTCATATGAAAGCATTTAAACTCCGCATATGTTTTCCAATAAAATACACACATTGGCGGCAACGTGTCCTCTATGAGGATCATTCGTAATGTGACAGAGTGGCCGGTATGACCTCTATAGAGGTCATTATTTATCCGGCCCTTCATTTCGGTGCACAGGATTTTTTTCCACAGTTATTCTATGCGATTAATGGCTTATCCAATGCATTCAAAACCGCAGTTCGTCAATGGAAGGATATCTTTGTAATAAATTTCCATTATTTTTTAATTTTGTGGTGAAGGATTATTGGTGTTGAAGAGAGTTGCACCATATAGGGTATGACCAGTGAAGAGACGCAGAATTGCCTCTGCTTTGAAGAACCGGCATCGCATCTATCCAGTATATTGCATCATTTGTTGTTTTCCGATTTTTTTTGCTGTGATAACTTTTGAGTATCGTTTTGAATGAGAAGATATTAGAGCTAAAAGCCAAATATTTTTTGCAGAACTTATACAACTTTATTCAATGCTGACAGTACCTAATTGCATAGTGGACAGCTTTCTTTTATTACCTACAAGAGTTTGATACGCAGCAAAAACGTATGGGGAGGAAAGGACGTGTAAAGAAAAACGTAAAATACTGATTTCCTATAGCGGACAAGTGGATTTTTTCCTTTATTGTTTTTTGTTGTCGGAGCTCATCCAGCGAATAACAGAGTGTCCAAAGAGGGGAAATTTTGTGCCGCAGAGGAGATGATATTTCTGAACCAATCATTAGCTGTTTTGACTGTCGTGTACAGATTAAGAATTTAAAAATTAAGATGTCATTACCAGTTCTTTGGAGATCTGGTTTTTGAACAACTTTAACCATCGCTTGTAATTGTTTCGTTATCTTGAAGCCGTGGTCTTAAGAGACGGCCAATTTGCGCGTGGGTTTAGATGCGAATTAGGAGTCTATAGCTTTTTTCCTTATTGATACGTTGGCTGCGCGAAGATAGATGTGCTAGAGGATTCTCAAATCCACCACAAGCTGTCAACAGCTCTTATGGTTGAATGAGATGGTTACCGCTTTGTCACTTGAATCCTTTCAGGACAGCCATGATTCCAGTTATTATTTGCTCGAGTGTTCGAGGATGATGTAATAAGTTAAGTCCCTTAAGGAAGGGTGCATAATTGTAGTAAAATATTAGAGAGAAAAATGTGACCTTAGAGCATGTGAGTAAAGTGAGTAAAGTTTCTTTCAAAAGCATCAGTCTTCATTTCTTCGTGCTCTCAAGTTATTAGAAAAGTTGTCTTTAGTCGTCAAATGATGAACCACTTCAAGAGAAAACCTCATACTTTGTCGAAGTGCTCACGGTGAAGTCACACCATAGTGCTTTCTCAAAGAATGTCCTTAGACTGAGATAAACAAGTCCTATCCAGGAATTTTAATTACAACAAATTGCGGCTTCACAACAGCGTATGAAGTAATTGTCTTATTTATGCGATCAATTTTCTCGAGAATTGGGCAAGAAGTTTTCTTAAATCAGTCCTGGGGCTTTGCCGACCAATTTCTATTTACACATCATTTTTACACCAACCTAAGAGCACTCAACAGATATAGTACCATTAACCGCTATTGTTATTATGAACGTGGTTTTAACTTAAAGTTGATGTGTATTAATACATAACGGTTTATAACGTAAGAAGGCAAATCTGAATAATATGCTTTTATTTTACTGAGATGTAGAGTCTTGTTAATCATACCAAATTTCAGTCTTGGTTGCACATCTACCATATCTAGTTCTCGAACAAATTTTCAAACACTTAAGTTCCACGGAACTTCGTAGTTGCATGCTCGTGTGCCGTCACTGGTCACATGTCTTAGATTCAGAGGTCAATTCTTTTCTGGCTATCAACTTTAGCCGATTTCGCTTAAACACTGTGTTTTCTCAATGTGCTCTCAGTTTTTCAGAACAGTGTTGCTTGGCAATCCTTGGCACAAAGGAAGATATCAACATCTGCTCTTTCTGGTTCACATTTGCTGAGCGGAGTTAATACGTATAAAATGAAATTACGGGCATTATCTTTTGCCTGGTATCCCATTGGCATCGACAGGTAAATTTCTTTAAACCGAAATTGACTGCTACGAACTGATTGCACTTGCAGGAGCTACCGTGTTTGCGGTGATGGTTTCACTGCACATCGTTATGGACAGATATGTGCCAGGGGTGTTCGAGGAAAGGTGCTTATTCAAGTGTACATTAGCAACATTGACTATGTGCGGGACGCGTGTAGTCCAGTGGTAGTGATCCTTAAGTACACACAAGGCTCAGGTTCAAACCCACGCCAAACTCCCTATCCGCTCTTGGTTGTGGAATTACTACCGGAGTCATCTGAAAAGAAGTTTCACTGATATGCAAAAGTTGGGGCCTACCTGTGCTGAAGATCTGGGAACGTACTTGCCACTTCTATGCAAGGATACTAAGAAGTATCTACTCGCACATCGCACAGCATTCAACAACATTCGTTAGGTAGAACAGAAATTTTCGAACAATAGCCGAACTCCCAAGAAAGGGAGGGAAAACTTCATGTGCAGATATAAATTTGTATATGCTTGTATACATAAATAAATATATATGTGCGCATACATGCACACACTTTTTTATTTTATTTAAAAAGTGCTAATTATAATATAAATTTTTTACTTTTTTATTTGCTGCCTTCTACAGTTTTTTTCTTCATGACAGGTTATTACGCCAAACATATTTGCAAGACTCCTGACCGCAGATGTATACGGTGGAGGACGAACGCACTATTGCCCTTTCCGGGGGCTACCGCGTTCACCACCACACCATGCGGGTCCTTCGTTTCACCAGTCTCTCTATCGATCAGTGCCGGAGTTTTGCAAATATCCCAGCATCATTGTGGTTACAATATAAATATTAAAATGATAATAGTGAAAAGAAGTGATAATATAATTGAAGTATTAATTTAAAATATTTAAATATTAATCTACATATTTTTAAATTTACTTATATGTATGTACATGTTTATTCGCTCGTATACCTGAATCGTTGGACCTCACAAATCATAAACAACTGTGTTGGTTGCAACACAGCTTTCCTTTAGGCGCTGGCTTGGCGGTTGGGCAAGAGTTGCTTTCGCTGAGACATCGAGAGCTGGGCAATAGGTTTCCTTGGTTGCAACTACTTAATAAGCAGTGTCTATAGTGTAGCCGGATGGCATAAGTTCCTTGCAGTGGGTGACTTCGTGCTGGCTTGCTTAGAAAGAAAAGTTGACATTGAAAGTTATTGCATAAGACGAGTTAAATTTAAATGTCACCGCTAAAGTGCTTAATGAAGGATAATACGTACAGCGTCTCTAAACCACTGATCAACAACGAACCCTTCTAGGCTCTGTGGAGCGTAGAAGTTAAAAGTAAAAAAAAGGTGTTTTTACTGTGCCGGGTAAGTCTCACACTAGTTTGCTGACCTCGATGAAGGTTTGCGCAAAGCCGATGATCGAACTGGGGACCAGGTGTGGCTGATCAAACACTGCGCTACACACGCCTGTCCATGCTCCATACAAGATCTTGCCATTTAGAGAGGCGTGTCATCCGGAGTGCATGCCTTCGACATCGTATGGAATGGTCCGTTAGGAATGCTGGCCGTAGTGGGAGTTGGAACGAGGTGCGGTTTTTCTTATAGGTAGATGCGCACTTAGCGCATAATTGTTTTATTATTTACCGCATTATTCAGAAATGCTTATCTTCGTTGCCTTTCCCACGATGATTGCGACATAGTTGACGAGCAATATTGGGGATGGAACCTAGCAAATAACAGGTTGTTGCATGGAAAGAACCGTTTGCGTGTTTACCCACGTGGGAAAAATTTTTCTATGTACAAGGTGTGTAACTTATTAGACTAAGAACAATTGTTTTCGAAGTGGTATAATAGTGAGAATAAATATTCAGCATCTGAAGCCCAATACGAGTTTTTTTTTCAGTATTGGATGCTCCGATAACCTCCGCTTTCAAATCAAAACCAGCTTGTCTAAACTCGCAGTGAACTTTGTTAAATGCAATAGAAACAGTTAGAATTCGTAGATCGTTGACAATACTTAGCTTACCTTTTGCTCCTTGTGCTATGGTAGATTTGAAATGCCACGGCGCCCACATGCAAAATTTTTGGGGGCTTTTCCGTCAAGACACGTTCTCTAGGCCTAAAACCAATTGCGCAAGGAGAATTTTCACCACCAGAGCAGGATAATGTCCCCAAACAAGCCATTCGCGGTAACTAGGCTCCGCTGGAAATTTTGAACATCCAGTCTTATTTTTAATCTGTCTGAAAATTTTGATTTTAAGGAGCTTCAGAAGGAACTAACGCTTTCGAAAATTTTCGTTTACTCTTTTGCAGATAAGGGAAGTGTTTTCCTTTAAGTCTTAGGAGTTTTCAACTACACAAGTTCTCCAGTCACCAAAAAAGCATTAACCTTTTCGAAAAACCCTGATTTAAACTCCGAGTAAAAAACTGAAAATTTTCTGGTGTCGTGATAACTTACGTGATGCTTTTTACCTTTACACGAAGAGTTGTTATTATGGAATTTTAAATTTGCGCATTGCTAACCCTCCCGCTACGTGTGACACATATCTGCCTCGTAATGGCTTTGCGGGAGTGGCTGGTGTGACACCCTTGGGTCTCATGTTTTCCCTTGTTTATTTTACGACACAGGTCTATTTTTCTACAATATTGATTAATAATTGATAGCTTGCAGAACACAGCTGTCGTATTGCACATTGTTTGGGAAAACCTCTATTCTGCACTTAGAAATCTACAAAAATTTATACATTTCTATACTACGAATATAATATTTATACGTATTTTGAATGCTATATCTATGGTTTTTCGGGATGGCCCATAATCACATTTTTACTGTGTGGATCCCAGTACTTCTTGCATTCCATTCGCTGTAAGACGCATCCACCGTCCACAATGGTCTTCGAACATTTTGGTCTTGTTTCTTGGCCTCTGCTTGAGAGTTTCGTCTTCTCCTGCTCTGCTCCGGGTACACAACCTTTTTTGCATCCTTACTTTTGAACAATTCAAATCGCGTTTCTCATATCAGAGCGTTGCATGCGACGACGCCTAGTGTGCGGAGTAATGAGATTGAATTTCTGGTGAATGAGGGGTTTTGAGATGAAACCTTTTTTGCTCGAAATTTCTTGTTAGCCAAAATAAGACTTTCGTTGGTCTTCACTATAAGTACTAGCCAATCTTTTGTGAATTAGTGAGAGGGGTGCTACCTTGCAACCAAGCTTTTTCTGTGATTACTGCTACTTCTGCCATTGATTTGCAAGACTCTAGCTGGCTTTTCATCTATTGCTAAAATTTAAATTCTGTGGCTTCTTCTGTACGAATTTTCCAACGTTTCTTAAATGCCAACTATTCAGCAGGGAGAAAGAATGAGGCTTGTGATAGATTGCGACCGTCACGTCGTTTATTTTGAAAGTACGGATGGAACTCACCTTGGGATTGCATTCGCAAGAATCCCGCCAGTTGAATTATATCCAACCATTTGGACTGGACAACGTCTCGCAGATGTTTCCATGGTTTACATTGGACGTCCGCATTAATGACAATACCTGATTAGTTTAGTTTGGATGACGTGCTTTTAAATTTGCTAGTTTTTTTCATTTAGCTCTAATATCGAACGAATAACAAGATTTCTGAATTTTTTCACTATTTTCACTTTTTTGAATATCCTTCTTCTGTCAAGTTACTATTCTGTATTGGTTTGAATGGATCAATAAATTCTTTGACGTTAACACCTCGTTTCTACATTAGGTAAAGTTTCCTACATATTACATTTGCTGTCGCATTTGTAGGCTTTTTTTTATTTTTAAACCATTAGCTGTGACCCATAGACCTCTCTCATATAAGGGATCTCGACCCGGTAAGTTACGAGGCAACGTGGCAAGTCCGCAAGTGAAGAGTAGGGGGTAAATAGCGGACCGAAAGTGGCCTTACGCGATTTGGCACATACCTTCTGTATTTACGAGGAAGTATTCACGTATACGTGCATGGTTTCGTTCTCGTTTACGCAGAATGCATCCTACGAATCAATTCGGCCAAAAGCCTGCAATGAATTGACAGAGAAGTATGTGAGAGTTGGTTGTGAGTCACCTATAGCAAATAAGCCCACGTCTAATCTAGGAGAGACTGGCAAGCTACACGTGAGCGTACCCGGCCTTCGAGCTCACAGCTCAGCAAGTTATACGTGAGTACCAAAAAATGAACATGGTAAAACAAACGAGCCTCATTTTCCTGACTCCGCCCCTATTTAGTGGCACTGGGTAGGACGAGTACGGAGGGGCTGCTTAAATCTAAGGACCAATCTAAGCTGCCTCAATCGCAGAGAACTTAGGTTACTATCTCTCCCTGCAATGCACAAGCACCTCCATTTGAGTCCTCAATAGAAGACATTATCATGCAGGCAGGAAGGATAAGGTACGATGTCATCTGACTGGCAGAGACGAGACGACGCCATCCATTCAACGCCGTCTGTGACACCGCAGGAGAGCTATTCCTCAGAACGTGCGACAATAGAGGACTCGACGGCATCGACTCTCTAGTCAGCACGAGTTTAGCAATGAACATCGATTCATTCGAACAACTAACAACCCAAATCGAACGCTTTCGATTGACAAAATGTGAATGTATACCGGCCTTGACAATCTTCGTCTTTTACGCGCCGACATCAAACTATGACGCAGAAGTCGAAGCGCTCTATGTAGACTTGAGGAGGTTCTACATAGAAGACCATACATTCTTCAAGTTCATCATTAATGATTTTAACGCTAAGATTGGACCAAGAAGAACGTTTGAATTACGACACATTGGGACCCACGGCTTAGAATGGAAGGAGCAGTGTGAGCCACTATCTGAGTTTATCATGACAAACAAGGGCATTAATGGTAACTCGCAGTTCTGAAACACCTCCTTCAACGCGGGACAGGGGAGTCTCCTAATGGAGAGTACCATAACGAAATAAACCACATCATAGTAGATCGAAGATTTTACCTAACCGATGTCACCTTTGTCAAAAATTCTACACGGAATTGGATTCTCGCCTTCTCCTTGCAAGATTTTATTTCTCGCAGAAAAGAGAAGAAGCTACTAAATTCCTAAACGGAAAGCAAAGTCCCAAAACCACGATAAACTTGAACTCATTCAATTCATCAGTCAGCTGTTATGAAGATGCCGCTCTCGATAACATCGACGAAGAATACGATCAGCTCATTCAATTTCATCACGTTAGCGCTATAAAAGCTGAGAGTTCGAAAGTCACCAAGAGACGTCTGTCTGAAGAAACACTCTAGCTGATACGTCAGCGTGGAATAGCACGAGCTGCACGCAACCGCTAACTAACGTCCGAACTTGCAAAACGATGCAAGCAGACGATGAAAGAAGATCTTAAACAGAAAAGAGAAGCAGCAGTGGCCGGAGCTACAGAGGCCGGGAAAAGCATTCGCAAAGCCCACCGATGCTTCGCCAATTACAAGACCAAGATGACTGCACTCCGACGCAGGTTGGAAGTGTGACAGCATCCGGAAAGGCAACGGAGAAAATCATTGAGCTATCCTTGCATTCAATCAGCACGCCATGAAATTCCTCTCTACGAGTGACTGTGGTTTACCCAACATTTTCAGTTTTACTAGTGCATCCAAGAGGTACCTCAAACTGACAAGCACCATCGCTTTTTTCAAATCTCAATCGTATGGTCATTACTTGTCCTACTATTTTACCACTTGAAAGGAAACCAGTATGACGATCAGTAGCATTTATGCGTTCATCGGATATCTATCTAAAACCTATTTTTTCATTAGGCTCTGAGATAAATGCGACTACTTCCATCATATTCCATTCCTCCGACATTTCAACTACAACGCTTGGTATATAGACATTTTAGGCAAATAGGTTTTGAAACCCAAACCCATTGTTAGGAGGAAACCTGCAGCTTAGTGGTTATAGGTGCCCTGCAATACATATGGGTTAGATCCCGTGCCCAAGGCTTACCAAGCTTCCCATCTCTTCGGGGTCTGCAAATTAATACCAGACCTGTCTAGGATTGTAGCACAACTGAGTCGAAACATCGGTGGACCATCGCGAGTCATTATATAGGCCACATATGTATCGAGTCACCTCTAGCAATGCTGGGGAAGTCGAATGCATGGCGCTTCTTTCAGGGGTTGACCAACGCCGATGGCTTTATCCTATTTCCTTTAACTGAAATAAAAACTTCCATTTTGATATAAAGTAATTTTAAGGTGTCCTATTGTTTTATTATCCTTACACGAGTTTGTTACAAAGAAGCAAAATGAATAAAATAGCAGGTAGCAATAATTGTAAGAACAATAATTTTAAGAAATAAGTAACGGTATTAAAAAAGATCTAATGCATAACAACCACAATGATGCTGAGATATTTGCAAAACTCCGGACCGCAGGTGTCCGCGGTGGGGAACGAACGCATTATTGTCCTTTCAGGTGGCTAACGTTCAGGTTCATCACCACACTTTGTGGGTCCTTCCTTTCGCGTTTCTCTCAGCTAATCTTCTATCGATCAGTGCTGTAAGTAATCACCCGTCACCGGGATTGATCTGGGAAGCCCAAATCAGCAATCACCGCATACACCTGCGGTCTGGAGTTTTGCTAATATCTCAGCATCACTGTGATTGTGTCACACATAATACCCTGCCGTGAAATATTGCAATAGGGACAGTAAGTAAAAAGTTAACGTCTTATTGGGCAACAATAACGACAATAATAATATTTATCACCTTTCGTCTCTACATTCTTTACATTGTCTTAAGTTTCCTAAAGGCGACGTTCTCTCGTCATTTTTATTTCATAGCAATCGAGTCCCTCGCAGTCCTCTTTTAGTGTTTCAGATTTTCTCAGCTTTTTCTATGACGTTTTACTCTTATCTAGTTGAAGTAAAGTACGAGTCGCCCGACGACCGTTTTAGAGAGAGTCATTAGAAAAAAATATCTTCTGCTACGTCGCAGTTCACGTTCACCTCTTTTCGGCCTTCAACTGTCAGGTTGGTTCCAAATTATCGGGAAAATCTGAAGGGAAACAAATAGTAATTGAAATGTTCGTCATAAATTCCAATGATGGTGCATCGAGTTTTCGAAATTGTGAGAAAAAGGCAAATTTCCTCTTTACCAATATTTAGTGCTGCTGAAGTTAGAGGATAGAGTAGGAGGACGCCAAGTACGCTTAGGTTTAGGCAGCCACTTGAGTAACCTATATAGAGATATTTTTTGACTTCGTTCCAACTCATTTACGTACTTGCCGTATTGACTAAGTTAACAGAACATTCTAATTCATCTGTTATGCAGCTAAAATTTAGAAACTTTATTGTGAGCGCTTTGCTCTTCGAAGAGTTTACTCCTAAAATTGAGACTACGGTCTTCCTCTTTAACAGTCTTTAAATTTGTGCAAATTACTTCGTGAGCCGTTTTCAAAAGTATGATTACACTAGCTTGATTTCCTTAGGGTACTCACTCTGTTGCTGTTTTCATTCATACCATCCCTACATGCTCTATGGTAAGTGTAGAATTAAACATTTATCTCATGATTAACAAATAATGCTAGAGCTTCTCAAGATCGTCGACGTGCGGGAGGCTGCGCATAGTCATCTCGACTCGTTGCTACGTATTGAACTGAGGTCTGAAAATTTCTTATTTACAGTTATTTTATTTATTTACAGAATTTTATTTATTCACAGAATTTCTTATTTACAGATTTACAGATCTTTATTTTCTTATTTACCTTTATCTTCCCCGTTACAATAACCTTACTAGCACAAAAGAAATGGTTTTACGTCCTCAGTGGTTTGAGGATTAGTGTAATAGAAACCAACCGGAACTTGTGTCTGAGGAAGTTCAGGCTCGTCATTCGATGCGGCATATTGGTCGCTAATTGATTGGTATTGTGACTGCTGAGTATAAGAGGGTTGAGGACGAGCATATCCTTCAGGCTCTATGGGAGGATTATACGGTGTTGGAATCCTATATAAGTTATATGTAGGGTTTCGAGTTTGATAGAAATTGTAGGCTGGGACTGGAGCTTGATAGGTGTTGTAGGCAACAGCTGTAGGCTGATAGGAGTATAACTGAGGTGGTCGACTATATGTTGGTACTTGAGGAGCTTGATAGTATGATGTATGGGACCATTGCTGATTACATGGATTACATGCACCGCCGAAAAGTGAACCAAATAAGAATGCCTTCGCCGAGCTCAGCACTACTATGAAGGTCAACAGAGTGTACATAGCGAGAATGATATGAGCGTATAGCATGAAGAGCGCTTTTATAGCAACTATCGGTATCGCCGCGTTTGGAACAAGGGCGATTTACCGAAGTGGTTATTGTAACAATGATCAAAGTGTCCTTGATAATCGTCACCGTATTCGCAGTGCTATACTTGGCGAGGAGAACATAAAAAGAAGTTACCTTTTTTGCTTTACCTTTGCGTGTGTATAACTCATACGTGATTAAAAACGTCAATATAAGAGTGGTTGCCGTTCATTTGCAAATGTTATCCTTCCAAAAACAAGAATATATTGG